TATAAAACTATATGGGAATTTGATACCGGGAGGAGGAATGGAATGACACGCCAGCCAAGGTTCACTTGCCCGTCACCGGAGCCAACATATATCTTTATATCTCATTCCTACCGGCCTTAACCGCATCATATCGAGTGAGTATTTTCAGTAGGCTGACGAGGCAGTGTAAAAATGACACTTTCTAAATCAACATGTCAGACATCAGATCCAAATTGTCACCACAGCCACTATCTTCCACCGTTGTCCTATCGATACTCCAGGCCACAGACTAAACCAGACACACGTGGGAATTCGTAATTGTGTCTAATATCAAACCACACTAATTAACCATTCTTAGTCTGACAGCATGCCCACACCAGATCCTCCCACAAACAACGCCACCCAAAACTCACACAAGAAACAGACAGCCACAGACCCCATTCACACGAATCCCACCTCAGCAAGCCTACCTAGTTCACACTTCAGCTCACCACGTCCTCACCGAACAAGCGCAGCAGACTCCGATCCTGTCTCTCTCAGCCGTACATGCAGACGATGACAGTCTATCAGCCGTGCTCGGTGAGAAAACTGGCAACGATGGCCCATCTCGCTCTGAGTAGAACTTCGCCGACAAGGATTCGGGTTTCTCAGCTGAGGACAGACGGAGTTTACCTCCGTGATTAGGTTGCATTCTTCTGCAGAACCCGCTGCAGCTAATCGTGTGTTGCATCCACAGCTGAATGCTGCCAAATTAAAGTGGGCTGGGGGACATCTCCAATCCAGGGAAGGTCCTTGTCCATAGAAGACTGTATTATAGGGACCTACATGGGGCCACCTGCGTTGAGCCTGGTCGGCTCGGGATAAACACGAAAGGAGAGAGTAGTCATACACGCAGATGACTCGGCAATCACCCATACAAAAAGCAAATCCAGGTATCACCAGTCACCACCATCAGCAAGAAAAAACCCCAGCTGAACAACAAGAATGCTCAGAAAAAGCAACAAGAAGCCGAACAAGACCGCCGCGATGCCTCGACTAAGACTCTAGCCTCTCCGTGCCGCTCCGGCCCGACCTCCACAAACTATTGGCTTGGCTGCAGGCCGATCGCACTCCGAGAGGCCGGAGCTCCTGCAGAGTACCGCTTCCTTTGGCCTGGGCGTCGGCTATTCCCCTTGCTGATAGGTTCCATGCGCAATCTCTGCAAGATCCAGCTGCTGCTACTACTGCTGCTGCTGCCTGCAGGGCTGGTGTGCTTGGCCGACGACATTTGGAATTTCTTTGCAGACTAGTGAGGGGTTCTTTTTTTTCAGCTGTTTTACAGTAACTTCTTTGATTGTGAAGATAAAAAAAAAAGTCTTGGAATAAATAGTTTTACCTAAAACAAGAGAAGTGGAGACGACAACTGATTTATATGGCGATTAAGGTTTTTGGTATGATGCAATTTTGGGTATATTAGCAATATTAAGTATTTACGTCTGGCTCAGCTCCACATCAGAAACCTTATACAGTACAGATAGAGCTATCTCATCCACATTGTGTAGGAGAGTCACAAGACAAATGGAGGTTAGCGGAAGGGCAATCCAGGTCCCTTGCAGGCATCGGCGTGGATGAAGTACCACACATGCGAGTGGAAGGCCAGGAGATCAGGCAGTCCGCCGCTGGTGCCGGTGTTTCCGTTGAAGTTAACGTATCCATCGAGAACGGTGACTTCATTTTCGGTGACAGTAGTGTTGTCCGGAGCGTGAATGTAGTATTCAGGGCTGATATGCACGTAGCCCATAGTCAAGAGGGGCAGCTTGGGAACGGGGTCGTCGTTGTGGGTGAAACGGTAGTTGTTGCCCTGGTTGGTGATGAACTCGGCGAGGGCCCGGTTGGCCACCCGTGGCGCAGCGTAGGCGTACAGAATAGCGTCGTGGCCCTTGGTACGCAGGTCCGCAGCGGCGAGCGAGGCGATGGCGGCGCCGAGACTGTGGCCCACAACGACGAGCTTGTAGTCGCTGTGCTCGGGCTTCAGCTCGTCCAGGGTCTTGATGATGCGGTCCCGGACGACCTTCCAGGCGGTCCAGAAGCCCAGCTCGGCCTTGCAGCCGTCACACAGTCCGGGGTTGGTGTAGGGGAAGGTTGCGTCGGTGACCCAGTTGCGGATGGAGTAGGAACCACGGAAAGCGACGATGATGGCCTTGTTGGTGTTGTCTACGGCCACGAAACCGGCAGTGTCGGTAATGGTGTCGCTGTTAGGGTTGTTAGTTGTTGGTCACGGTCCTGGGGACTCCGGCTGGCTTACTCGGAGAAGCTGAGCTTGATGGTGGTATCAGCCGCCTCGACATCGGGGCAGTTGCCCACGGAGCAGTTCGGCTTGTCGCCATCTTTGGCAACGTAGTTGTTGGGGCAGTAGGTGGCAGCCGCATACTGCACCCAGAACTTGAAGTCATCGAGCTGGTTGGTAGGGATGTCTAAACAATGAGTTGGTGTCCGTCTCGCAGGTCATGAAGGAGATTTCGTACCTCGAATATCAATTGTCGTCGGGTAAGCGTAACCCATCAGGGCCACCGAGGACAGAACAGAAACCACGCCGGTGAGGAAACGCATCTTGGTCAGTGTGCTTTGCAGGGACTACTCGATGGGTCGAGACAATGCAATTGCGAGGCTGGACTGAAGAACAGAGTGGACAGTGGAAACGGCGCCCCTTAAATAGTTCTATTCTGTATGCTACTATACAGACGTCTCCAAAATCAATACCCCCATCCGACGATCGGGCTGTCCATGGTTCCGCTGAAAAAATGTGAGACATGGTATGCGCGATCTCAATAGTCTACCATCGACACTCTTGGCCGGATCGAGCTGAATTGGTCCCATTGACAGTCCCCATCCACGGGGATCCACAGCTTAAGCTGACGAAGAACCCCACGAAATCAGCCTCGGTATGTTCACGAAGGATGCTGATCCAACGAGGACGGGCGTTCTTGCAAGGCTTGTACGTCTTGTCTTGTCAATTTTGCCGCTTACGGGTTAACTTCTCCCCTGCATACCAGGTGGTGGGAGACACCACATACCAACTGTCAACGCATAAGCATACATGGAAATCAGCCACAAAAAACGAAACAGAAAAAGAAAAAAGGTACCATGACTGACGATCCAGCGAAACGGCCGAATCACATGTAGCACCACATGGCCCAATGTGACCCTTGGGAGCGAAATGTAGGGTCGCCCCACTCGTTTCCCGCCCTAAACTGAAGCTTTTTTGCGATGAAGATCCGCCTCGGAGTCTCCGGTTACGAATTGACTGCAATTCTTCTTGTTTCTTAACACAATCCTGCACCAATAACACCCCTGCCCGCTGTCGATCTCTGCTCTGTTTGATTATGCTCAATCGGAAATTAAGTCTACTCCGTGAACGGTTCCGTTCTCGTGACCATGTTCGGCTTTCCTTCCCTCAGGGCCAGCGGAAGAACAGAATCGTTGTGATTCGACATGGATAAAAAATCGGTTGAATCCTTCCAAACCAGCTGAATAACAGAAACCCAATCATATGCAAATATGGAGTATATCACCCTAGAATCGTCGAGAATTCCACTTATTCTACGCCCGTTTTACCCCCACGGCTGGTGCCAACCGACTCCTCTGGCGGAGTCGAGGGCCGAATACGAGGAAAAGCACCGGGATCGGAATCATCACGACGGCGATACAGCCAAGTAAAGTGCCTGCCCATTGAATCCCCAGGTTATTGAACATCTGTCGCGTGAAAAGTGGGAAACACGCTCCCACCATGGATCGCATCATAGTGTTAGCCGCGAACGCCGATGCCGCACTGAAAAAAAAAAGAAAAGGAAACAGAATCCGTTAGCACAAGAATACTAATGTGCTGAGCAACATGCCACCTACAAATTCAGGTACGAATCCAGGAGGTAATTGAACCCCTGCATGAATATCGACGTGATGCCGAAGCCGACCATCACACCGGCCGCCGTGGGAGCCATCCAATGAATCGAGGGATTCCAACCGGTCCATCCAAACCTATTACATACTGTCAACTACATGTCTCGGCCAAGCGTATATGGCCAAGCATATGGCCAGATATATGGCATGATCGGGTCCAGAAGAAGTTCACTCACCAGAAGAGCCCTCCGGCGAACGCAACACCACCCACGATGCAAGGGGGCAATCGCCACTCAGGGACAGGCACATTACTATTAGCCTCCAACTTCCGCGAGTACGACTTCTGAAGCGAGAGAACAAAACTACTGCCCGAGATTTCACCAATAATCAATCCGATAAATGGCAATCCGCTCACACCACCGGTCATGCCATAGGTGCCTTGGAAGACAATCGGGTAGGCCGACAGCAGCGCATAGGCCAGTCCATAAATGAAGGACATATACAAGGTCAGAAGGAAGGCGATGGGCTCGGTAAACAAGATCAGAAAGGGCCGCGCCAGGTTCTTAGTCACCAGCTCGCGGAACTCGATCTCCTGTTCATCCTGCCGCGCATGAATCCCCCAGTTCCTGGTTTGACGACGCAGGATGGCCGCTTTTTGCATTAACACGACGGGCGCGTACGTTTCCTGTGCGAACAGCGCCATTAGGATCAAGCTGAAGAACCCGACAAAGGCTGGTATATAGAGCGTCCACCGCCAACCTAAGTAGCTCTCTGCTGTGAACCCACCGATAAATGGCGCGGTAAAGGGTCCGGTAAACACCGACATCGTATACACGGCGATCGCAACCCCTCGATGATGGTTATTGAACAGATCCGACAGACTGGCCGGGACAAGAGCGATGACACTAGCGGCGCAGAATCCCGCGAAGAAGCGTGTCAACATGATAGTTTGCGTGTCTTTCGCCGTCGCGCAGGCGATCGTGAAGATATCGAATCCGAACATGCCAACTAACAAGGGCCATCGTCGCCCGATCAACTCAGATGCCGGCGCCCATATCGTCGGTCCGGCAGAAAACCCCAGCACATATAGCGTGGTACCCAGCGCAGCGACTTCTTTCCCGAATCCGAACTCCTTCATAACACCCTCCGAAGCCGTGGCGAAGATAGCACTCACATACGCCGTGACAAGTGCACAGAACGTCAGGAGCGACCCTATAAGAACACTATTATGGGATTAGTGCTGGTGCCTTGGCCACATCGCGATCAAAGTGCAGCATACCGCCTTCTCATAGGCCAATTCTGGGGATGCATGGGGTCGTCCGATCCTTCGAACTCGACCACATATTCCTCCGCGTCCGGGAGGGGAGGGGGATAGTCTTTTCCTGCTCCCATGGGCAGCCATTGCTCTCGAGGAATGCGACTTCGATTCGATCCAACGGTAAGTTGCTGCTGTAGGCGAAATGTGTTGATGCGCTCAAGCTCGACGCTATCATGGAGGGTACTAGGACGGCGCTGTGACTCGAGATCGACCGTTCGAGGCGGCAGGGGAGCCAGATACCCCCCAGAGGTAGAGCTGACCGTCTCCTTCGAGGCCTTTTCCACAAGGTCGTGAGTCATGATCCCGATCCCTGAAGTCCCTACGCTGTAGGTCTCACGAGCTTTCACGTAGTCTACACAGGTATGAAGCGAGAGCTGAAAGGTTTTAACTACGACGCAGAGGCAGCCTCGCTATCTCTTTTTCTTATTTCTTCGAAGAGAGACTACAGTGGGTCTAAAATTCAAGCCCGAATCATCGGTGTGACTTGCCGTAGTGTAAGCCCATCGTCCAGGGTTGGGGTTCTACCAATCTTGCAAGTGCCAGCACCCATGGGGTCGGCCGACTTAACATGTAGATTTAAGAACTTGTCGAACAAGAGTTTCCCCTCGGCGAATCAGCACGCCGGGATGCTGACCCAGCATGGACGTAATTCCGCGGTTATCACGTCTTTTCGGGACTAAGAAATTAGCGGTGGACACCTTCATCCCGAAGTTGGGTCCGTTTACCCGGTTAGTCGGCATGGCGCGTCCTTTTCGGGGTGCCAAATGGGCCCCGATATCGAATCAGCTCCCTCACGGGGATCTCGATATATGGAGGACATACAGGTATATGCGTACCCCCAGTCGTAGTATTCCTTCTTTCTTCCCCGAAGGAGCACCGGCCATGATAGTTATAGCCATCGCTAAGAAGGGGTTATTTCGAAATGAGAAGCCATGCTTGTGATGCCCTGTTTACCTAGCAGGCATACCTCTGCCGATCCCATGTTTAGGGCTTACTCTCGGTCCGTCGCACGGCTGCGGTTCTTGGCACCCGTTCCCTGGGCTATCGGCTTGAACATGCATCAAGCATTTGGGCTATTGAGTTTGAACCACGTTTAGACTGTTAGTTTAGGCAATGATCGGATGGGTAAGTTCAAATGGAAGAGAAAGACAACGTTCATGGCTTTCAAACGGCGAAGGCTATCTAAACTGAGTAGCTCGTGTCCATCATACATCCGACCCCGAAGCCCTATCCTACCATTCAAAACCAGAACCTTTTATATGAGCATTCATAATCAGATACTACATTCACTCCCTACCCCAAATCACGTCGTATGAGCCAAGAGAAACTACGGAATTGAATCCGCGGTGGAAGCAGCCAGGGACTGTGCCTGACGCAAGAGACCCACAATATTGTTTTCGCCTGGTTGTTTTGTGGCCCGTCGATAACGAACGATAACAGCCCTCGGATAATTATACATTACACCTTCATCACACTTCCACGAGGCACCGCTTGCCCTTCGGAAACATTAAGAAGAACAGCATCTGTTCCATGTCGTTATCGTTGAAATCGTACTTGCTAGAAATCTTGGCATTGGGGAAGTAGCGAAAGAAGTAGCCGGTTGCGAGTCGCAGCTCCATCTTGGCGAGATGTAGTCCAATACAATCTGCATTGTGAACGTGAGTGGTGTGACCATTAGAGCTTGAAGAGTATAAAAACTTACTGCGAGATCCAGCCCCGAATGGCATGAATGCGTCTTTCATGAGCTTTGTAGGGGAGGCCCACCGAGACGGATCGAATCTGATATGTGATCAGCAATGCACGGTGATTCGCTTCTTGCAATACTTACTTCTCCGGATCAGGGTAAGCAACCGGATCACGATGCAAACTATACAGCTGGGTGCCCACAGTAGAACCCCCGGGTATCCAGTGACCTCCCATGGTCGTTCCCTTTGGTGGCACACTACGTGGCAAGGCTGAAGGAACAGCAGGGTAGAGACGGAGAGCCTCGTTGATTACCTGGTTCATGTAGGGCAGTGGCCGCAGGTCCTCGTCCGTAAAGTCATCTCGAATCTCTGCCAGTTCGTCGACCAGCTTCTGTTTAATCTGAGGGTCCCGGCAAGCAGCCCAGACCAGGTAGGTCAGAGTGTTGGCAGTGGTGTCGCTACCGGCCACGATAAAACTTTGCGCATCGTCTCGGATTTCATTATCTGGCAGACCTTCCTCGCCCGCATTGTACAACTTGGTGAAGACAGTCGGCTTTGGGTCGTTCGGGTTCTCAGCCAAGAGACGTTTGTACCGATTGATAGATTCCGTCGCATATCCGAACACACGGTCTCCGCTTTCGTTGACCTCCTTGATGATGGGGAAAGGGAGTAGCGTCGCCAGCTTGACGAGGATAGGGAAACTTGCACGAATACCACCAATGATTGAAGTCATCTCGATATCTTTCACATATTGGTTTTTCTGCGGTGCATTAGCTAAACAGCATCCGGGCGAAGCAACGAGTCACCAACCTTTCCCTTTTCCAACATGCGGAAGGATTCTCCAAAGGTAATTTCTCCAATGACATCCGTAGCCATGAAAAACCACCATTTATAGACGTCCGCCACGCCACGAGTCTTCATCTCTTCTTGCATTTTCTGGATCGTCAGGCGTACTCGAGACTGGATCAGTGGCTCCATCGACTTGAGTGACAGTTCAGACATAGGAGATGAGAGGAGTCGACGATGGGCATTGTGGTACTTGGGGTCGGTGGTGGTGAAGATACTCTGTGTATCCTTGCGGTTCAACAGGGAATACCAAGGGGATTTTAGGAAACCACTTCCGATGCGATGGATTTCGCGTGCGCCGCTGATGTCAGAAACATCGACTTCGTCGGGTCCAATTCGCACAACGGGGCCTGTACGCATCATTAGCCAAGTTTACCTATCTTTTGAATGTGCGACGAACCATATTTTTCATGCAGAGCGTGGACATATCGGGGCCGCTGGCCGGTGACGACTTTGTATCGGAGAAGGAGGTCGGTGAACTTGGTATACCAAGGACCGGGTAAGTAGCTTAGGTGACTTTTCTGCGACCGGTATACGACCTATGATGCGAATCAGCCGGAGCTGTGATGCAATAGAGGCCGTGAGCTACCTACCGAGAGAACGTATACCAACACAGCGATCGACGCGATGGCGGGGATATTCTCGCGAATAAACCCGGAATCCATGTTGTTTGTTGATACTGACAATCCCTAAGAATATTACCTCTAATAGATGCAAGTCATGAATCTCTAGGCTACACCCTAGACTTCATGAAGTTGAAGATTAGAAGTGCCGATAGGGTTGGCGTCAGGTTTTAAGAGAACCTGTGACGTTATATGCAACGTCGGACAGTTGACACCTGGCTATGACACCCGAGCTTCTCCACGTCTCACGTCGGACATGGGCAACAGGTGCAAGATAAGTGAGCCTCTGCCAGTGAGAAAGAGGTGGGCCTGAGTCGACGAATGCGTGGCCTCATCAAGGGATGCCGCTTCTGGAAGGACATCCCTTGATACCCACTCCGCAAACAACATGGCAGCGACAATTCAACCCAATAATAGTACTATTAAAAGAAAACTAAGTAATCAAAATATGTGAATATAATCCTATTAATTCGTTTCTTCCGATTGCAGTGTGGGTGCATCTTTTACGTCCTTGTCAGCAATCAATGCTCCCATGTACATGCTACCAAGTTAACCACCCATGGATATGCACAGCCAGCCACCAACTCCTCTTCCATTCATTTATCAATATCATGCGCCAATAGCAGGCACCGTGTCAATTTTCCGTGAAGTCTAGGTCAATGAAAAGGCGTCGCTTAAACTTGGTTCTCCTGGAGCGAATGCAACATCACAAATTGGAACTGAATTTGTACTCGTAACCGAATACCACCTTCCTCCATAAGCAGGAGATCACGTCAAGATGCCTATCATCGATATGATTTAAGATGTCTGGATAGCGAGTACATCGAAAACTTGAAGAATGAAGAATGATTAGAAGTTCAATTTCGGCCGGAATGCCTCCCAATGAACTATATAACCTTTCGTAAAAGTAGTAAGTAGGGCTTACATTACATGGTTATCTAGGAATCCAGTACTCACCTCTCAGGCCTAACGTGACAATAACACTGAAATGTTTAAAATACTTTTGAGATATCCAGGCACCTTCACAAAATAACTTTATAACCCTCGTTGCATGTTATATAGGATACAGTATTAGTGGCAGTCCAAACGGAAAAGTTTTCCCGTAGGTGTGTCGCATTCCGCAAAGGACGAAAACGGCTTCAAGAATCTGAACATCATTTTCCTGTTCTGGTATGGTATGCATCGAGTCATGTCATAACCTGAATTTGGTCGAAACACCAGATAGGCTAGGTTCTAGCCACACCTTTGGCATTTTCGTGTGTACATCATTCTTTCTTAGGCTAGGAGTATTCCATATAAGTTGGATTATCGCATCACATAAGCCTGTCTGTATATGTTTGAATTGGTGATCAATCATTCTGGAGACATGTGTATCAGAGTCCCAGTGGGGCCTAAAATAACTAACGTCAATATAGTTATACTGACTAAACTATCTTCAGAAATCAAGCAGGAGGTCTTCCTTTGACTTTGATATAGAAATCTTGATTTACCTGTACGCCAGCGGGGTATAACATGGTTAGGGTTGGAGTAATTAGTTGGGGAAACGCATGATGTTCACGGAGTGCATGGCTTCATCTCTCCAACACCAAAGCCAGCGATGTAATACTCCACTCACTACTGCTGTAGATTGGAGCATACTATCTCTATCTTACTGTCTGCTCACTGCATCCTTTTGTGAACTTCCCCCACACGAAAATGTCTCCGTCCATTCCCGAGACAATGTGGGCAGCCCAAATCACCGAAGTATGCGTTTCCATCATCATATCAACAACCACTACCTAACGCCCTTCAGTTCAACACACCGTACACCATTTCAACGGTCAATATTCCCCAGCTCCGTCCCAATGAGCTCCTTGTCAAATACACGCCGCAGAATCTGTCATTCGGATATCCAAGTGCTGCGCGGAGAACTCGACAGCCCGCTGCCCTTGATCTCATCCCACGAGCCGGTGGGCACAGTTGTGCAGGTAGGGGAGGAATCCGCCTCAAAATGGAAAGTCGGCGATCGGGTGGGTATCTTGAGTTTCAAAAATGCATGGGACACCTGTGCTGGATACAGAAGGTCTCGTAAGAGATATGGAACGCTGGATCCGCGATTTTGTGATCACAGAGAGACAGGTGGCATCAAGAATGATGGTTGTTTTGCCGCGTATATGGTTGCCGACTCAGCGACAACAATCGCTCTTCCTGACTCTGTGTCCTTTGAACAAGGAGCACCATTTTTATGTGCGGGGGCACGTCGCTATTCACCATATTTCACTGGAAAAGAGCCAGGGCTAAGATTTAGGCCACCATTTGGGGAGCGATCAACAAGGCAGGACCATTTCTCCAAGCAGGTGATATGATCGGTGTGATTGGGATCGGGGCTCGGGCAGCTGGGTGTCCAGTTTGCTAAAGCTCTGGGATACCGAACGGTGGCGATTGATAACCGAGATGCTAGTCTACAGCTTACGGACGACATGCCCACGGAGCTTCAGTCGGATCATCTAATAAACTCTACGCATGACGATGCATGCGAGAAGATTCTGGAGCGAACTGGGGGTGAAGGCCTGGCCGCGGTGATCAATTGCACAGATTCGATTGCCGTCAATGCCTGGAGCTCGTGATTACTGCGCATTGGCGGCGTAGCGGTCCTTCTTGGTCTGCTGCCAGAGCAGTGGAGATTTGATACTCATCCCATTGTCCTTCGTGAGTTGGTTCTACGAGGAAGTTACGTTGCTAGTCGAGAAGAGGTGGAGGGGATGATGGCGGTGGTAGATCAACATGGAGTTCGGTCTCAGTTGAAAGTGGTAAAGAAATATGATATCCTGCAGGTCCCCGAGATGTATTTATCCAGATCGTTTCGCGGGCGCTTAGTTGTGAAGTTTGATTAATGCGCAATTGTTTATTCCAAGGGCTGGGACTAGAATACTTAAGCTTATACAGTAGAGTGTAGGAAAGGATAGCCAGTATGAATACCTAAGGTCTCCGTCAAGTGATGGATTAAACGGTTTATACTTTACTGGTCATGGTGAGATTTCCAGGAATCCTCGACTATATCCAGAGTGTCTAGTAGAGCTCTTTCCATAGTACTATAACATATACTAACTAAGGGGGCACAATTCGAAATTGGGATTCGCATTCTTAATTAAAAAATATATATGCGGAACAACTCCGCGTACCCGACCCATGTTTTCAATGGCAACGTACTATTACATATCGTTCAATGCGATCTGATCTTCTGGTAAAAACAATACAATCGATAGAATGGCAATTTCATCGTATTCGGGAAATTCGATCGTGAATAGGCCGACAATTCACTAGTTAATGGTGGGGATTTTCCACTCAGTGGGTTCATTTCAAGCCAAGAAAAACTGGCAACGCAGATACAAGCCAGGAAGGACTGTAAATGTATTATCCTTGGGGGGCCGAATGGATAGATTACCATACGGTACGGTTAGTGCCCAAACAATACATTTTGGGAACAGCTGTTCTGCACAGTAATCCTGGGTCAGGTGTTTTTCTTTCTCTCTTTCTTTCTTCTACTAAAGTATTTCCTCATCTTCTTAGACTCTCTCTTCCCTCACTTCTCTTCTCCTGTTCACGACGATCCTTCTGTGTCTTTCTTTCTGTGTGTGGGTATGTTTCTTTCGCTTATACATTCACATCCAGAGTTACCCATCTGTTCTAATTTCGTTTTCTCCAGAGAAATGTGGGGATGGGTCAGGCTCGGAACCATCTGAGTGGATGAAATGGGTCTTGAGCCTCAGCCTTTCCTTCCGTCCATCACAATAATCAGGCTGACGAGTCTGACAACAAACACCACACCAGCGACACTCCTCTTCTCTTCTTCCTCCCATTTGCAACCCCTGTTGTTTGTTTTTCCAACCCCTCCCCCTGATCGACTGCACCGGCTGACCCCTACTTCGCTCGTTTCAGCCTGCCCTCATCGCTGCCTTGGCAATTTCCCCACTGCCCCCGGGGTCTTAGTCCCTGACGCCAACAGAGCCTCTGTCGCTACGAACACCCCTCCTCCTTACGTCTCTCGTTTTCCCCTGTTCAGCTTCCCTTCCGGGCCCGTCTCGTGCGGATCACACGATGGCTCACTACCAAAATGGCCAGCCACCATACGGACAATCTGGAAATTCCGCACAGCCTTCCCGCTATGACCTGTATACCTCCGGTACCTCTACCTCGCAGAGTAATCCGACCCTCCGCAGGATGCCGAGCTATAGTGTAGGGGACGATGCGGGTCTCTTTGCGCCGTCCCATTCTCATAACCCACGACCGACAGACGTAAACGCTCGTTATTCCGAGTGGGGTGCTGGGGATTCCCAAGGAGGTTATAGCAATGACCGACAGGAGTACGCGGACCATCCCAGATATGCACACCTCCCCTCCGCAACCTCACCCCAAATTCCTCGCAGTCGCGCTTCCTCGCAGTCCAGCTATCAGTACCAGTATACCTCATCCATTTCCTCGCCGACCCAGGCGGCGTACAACCCCCAGCAATACGCCGTCCCTTCGACGCCGTCGCAATTAAATTACAACCCCTTGGCATACTCTAGTGCAAACAACAGCTCAGCCCTAGGACATCAACCATACAATCCAGCCGCTTACCAAACCGCCAGCGTCGCTGGCTACGGCCCGGCTGGTGTCCAGCGACACCCTAGTGTTGGCTACGCGCAAGCGCCTCCGACACCGCTCTCCTATGCACCACCGGTTCCCTCGCTACCGCCGCCACCCCCTCCGCGAGGCCCAGATCATCCGTATGGAAGTCGTTTGTCGCCCCAGTATAGCACTCCTTCTCCCGGGACACCTTACGGGTTGGCTCCAACGACCTCATCCTACAACCTTGCCTCCCCGTCAACCCCGGGCGCAACCTATGTGTCATCGTTTGCCGGCATGGGTTCAGCGCAGTCTCGCCCCTACTCCAGTGGATCCTATGGACCGTCCTCTCCCCGCCGATCTGAGTCCGCCACCGCTGCATCTCGTGAGGACCAACCCCCAGAACCTCCCGCCCATGCGTCGTCAGGCGACGACTTGTACGGAAAACGACCGAGCTTGACTCGTCCCGGATCTGGACGATCTCTGCCAACCCCGCCGATCTACCCACCTCAACCACAAATGTCACCGCAGAGAACAGATACTTTGACTCGACATCCTCAGTCGCGCCCACTGCCTGGTCCACCAGTCGACGCGGAGGACGATTCTGCTCCATTGACCAACGGAGGGAGTTTACATGGCAGAGCGGATGGAAGAGCCGCCTATGATGACCTGTTGAAAGAAGTCGAGGCGGCAGTGTTAGAGGCTGGGGACCGAAGTAGTCTACGATCGTTACGTTTGGAGGCGCAGAACTCCAACCACGGAGGGGATGGAATGCGTCTCTCTCCTGATGAGAGGCATACGCACACCAATGGTAATATGGCTACGGGAACGGGGCAGTATGTCAATTATGATGCCTACAGCGACGACAGCGATGCCGAGGCGGCCGCAGGTCTCGCGATGTTGCAGATGGCCGATGAGGAAGACAGGATGCGGGCTGAGCGTCTGCAGGAACGCGAACGACGCGAGACAAATGCGTCCATCATCAGTGCATATGCCAGCCAACAACCGGCAGAGACGGGTGATGAGGTAGCACGGTACGGCGGAAACCTCAGGGGGCAGAACCAGTACGAGGAGACAGACGTATCCACCGACGAGTACGCTGATGCAGTCGACCATGGCCGACTGGCGCCCACCTCCGGCTCGCTGAGGAGCTCGAACGTGTCAGCGGAGGATCGCGGGGAATACTCGGACGACTACGAGTATCCTCCTATGACCCAGGACGCTGAATATCCCTTCGAACTGGTGCCGTCCCATGCGCGCGTTGACGCCGGCGGCACAGGTGGACTGTCCGAACCTAGTGCCTATGGACGGCGGATGAGCTTCGATTATGGGGATGAGGGAACGTTATCGCCCGTGCGTCGTTCCCATCAATCGGGCAGCGACGACTCAGACGGAGGAGAAGAACCCGGAGACCTCTTTTTTCACCCCGGCATGCGGCCCCTACCGCCAGCGCCGGTGGAACCTGCGAACAGAGCTGATTTAATCCCGCATTTGATGCCGGCGGGGACGTACCGGCATCAGGAGCAGGGAGATTGGCAGAGCGATACTCAGTATACACCCTCCTACTACCCCGTTACTACTGACTCGTACGGGCCGACCGTGCCTAGCCCCTCATCTCAAGTTCCACGGTCGAGCTCTTTATCGAGTCACCCGATTGGACCTCGTACTGACCCCCCTATCAGATCCAAGACCGATGCAGACCGGGCCAAGTACAAGCAACAGCATGACCTGCACCGTCAATCGGGGTCACCGAAGGTGGCGTCCCCACAGGCCGCGGCAGGTATGACCCTGGATCTGCCCACGATTCCCGCCGGCGCCGCAAGAAGTTCAATCCTACCAAACTGTCCACGGAGCAGTTCCGTCGTTGTACGGAACCGTGGGCGCTGAGTGCCATTCTCGAATGGATTCGGGAGCTCAGCGAGGAAGAGACTGATCTCAAGGAGCACACGATAGTCGATGCCATTGTCGCTTTGTTCACTCATAAGGTGCCGACGATGAACATTGCGGATGCAGAAACACTAGCCGCCCGTGTCGTGCAGAACATGTTGGCGGAGGAGGCCTTGATCAAAGAAGAGGAATGGGTTAAGTTCGGCAATGGCTCTTTGTCCGGTGTTTTGTTCCAGATTACCGGCACAGGATGCTATTCATCTCGGTTGCACGAGCAGGAAACCGAGGTCTTTGGACGCTGCTACTCCCATCACTGTATGCGAACGTTGAAGAAAGTGAACCTGCGAACACAAGTGATGGAGCAACAGAAGAAGGCCGAAGATTGGGTGACCTTCTACAAAGTCCCGAAGGAGTTGTGGGAGTCGTATCCGAAGAAGGAAATTGACCGCCAGAATAATCTCCACGAGATCGTGACCACAGAGGACTCCTTTATTGGGCAATTGGATGTTCTGCGCGAATTGTATCGGGATCAGCTAGCGGGTATGCAGCCAAGCATCATTCCTCCAAAACGCGCCAATAAGTTCTTGAAAGATGTTTTTGGCAAAGTCGATTTGGTGAAGAGGGTTAATGAGGATTATCTCTTGGCCCAGTTGAAGTATCGCCAGAAAGAACAGGGTCCCTTCATCGGCGGTTTCAGCGATATCTTCCGCGAATGGATCCGGAAAGCCAAAGCAGTCTACATTGACTATGCGGCAACGTTTCCTCATGCCAACTATCTTGTTAGGAGTGAAGCGGAGAGGAATATTCAATTCCGGCATTTCCTTGAGCAGGCCCAGAATCACAAGTTATCAAATCGTCTGAGTTGGGACACTTACCTGAAAGCCCCTATCACCCGAATTCAGCGGTATACTTTGTTGCTCGCCACTGTGCATAAGAATATGCTCAAGGATAGCGAGGAAAAGGCAAACCTGGCGCAAGCAATTGAAGAAATTAAGCTGGTTGCCTTGGAATGTGACAATAAGGTGGGTGAAACAAGCAAGAAGGTTAGTCTCATGGAACTATCCGCCAAGTTGCAGCTCCGCCCAGAGATGAAGAGGGAAGTCGAACTGAATCTGGAACATCTGGGGCGTGAAATTGTCCACCAAGGGATACTGCAGCGGCCAGGCACCCGAACCCGTTTCTTACAGGAGACCTATGCCATCCTTTTTGATCATTATCTGGTCCTAGCCAAGCCGGCTCCCAAATACAAGGTTTTCGACGTGTCGAAATTGCCGATCCCCATGGATCTCTTAGTTGTTGAAAGCACCAATGAAGATCCTGTCGTCAAATCCTCAGTTAGAGGCGTTGCCACTGTGACTCAGCCTCAGGCTGTGGCCACCCGCGCTGTAGATGGCAATGGTGCCAACGCTGCTGGTGCAGCGGCGGGCAAGACGATTGTTCCCACCACAGTCCTTGAGAGTTCTACAGATAACAAAATCCTTTATCCTTTCAAGATCAAACATCTGGGGAAGAACGGGACGTACACTCTCTATGCCTCTTCCTCTCAGTCCCGACAGGATTGGTGCGAGAAGATTATCGAGGCGAAAACAAAACATGCTGCAGCCCTATTTGCGCAGAATGCGGAGCCTTTCAGACTCCGCGTGCTTGCAGATACTGCCTTCGCTTCTTCAGACTATTCCCCGCCCCCCAAGAGTGTTATCATCGAAGGTACGCCTCTGGATCGTGCGATTAAAGATGTTGAACAGCGATTTGCCGACCTTAAGAGACCGGCACCTGTCTGTCGGGCAAGCGTTCACTCTGCCACTGTCTTTCAACAGCCTCCTGGCCGTATGATGTGTGCAATTGGGACTGATAACGGGGTTTACATCTCTGAATATAATGATCCTCGTGGTTGGGTTCGGGTATGTGTCTATATCTACTCCGTGGATGTCCAGTCGGTCGTTCGTAATATGACTAACCTTATTTTAGGCAATCCAAATTCCCCGGGTGACGCAGATCGCTGTCTTTGAAGAATTCAATGTATTCCTACTCATTGCCGACAAATCCTTGATTGCTTACCATCTGGACGTTGTGTGCCCACCAAGTGGCGTCTCTACCCCAACGACGAGCGACTCGGCTCGCCGAGCGCCGCAGAAAATATCAGGAAGTCGTGAAGTGGGATTCTTCGCTGCAGGACACATGAAGGATCGTACATTGGTGATGTATAAAAAGCGAGATGGGTTGTCCTCAACCTTTAAGGTTTGTTCATGTTGCCCTAGCTCCATAACTCTGCTCTGCGGGACTAACTCGGTGTAGATCATGGAACCAGTCTTGCAGAAATCATCAACGAGCAAGAGTCGTTTCTTCTCCCGCCGTTCGCAAACTGAATTCTTCCGCGAATATGACGAGTTCTACATTCCGGCAGAAAGTTACAGCATCAATATGTTCCATTCGTCCCTAGCAATTTCCACCCAGCGCGGCATCGAAATTCTCACAATTGATAAGAAACAGACTTGGTCTGTTCCTGATTTCCGCTCAGAGGCTCCAGAAGCACAAGCTCAGCTTACCAGTATCGCCGCCCGTATTACCAACCTACGCCCTCTGGGTATGTTCCGTCTCAGTGATAGCGAGTTCTTGGTTGTGTACGCGGAATGCGCGGTTTACGTGAATAAACATGGAGATGTGTCACGTAGTGTGGTCATGGAGTTTGTCGGACGTGCCCATACGGCCTGTCTCTACGGCAAGTTCTTGATATTGTTCAACGAAGACTTTGTTGAGGTGCGCAATGCGATGAATGGTCGATTGCGCCAGGTCATCCCGGGACATGGCGTCGTTTGTCTTGATGATGGCAGCAGCATGCCTGGGTCTGGAGCAAATAGTATTCCCACCACCACAGGTGGCACGGTGAATCTGTCCAGCGGATTATCCAACGGTGTTGCCCTGGCGAACAACGGCCGTACTGTCAAAATCTGCATGCAGCATCCGGAATATGAACGGAACCAGGTTGTTCTCGAATTAATTGAGAACGAAGGACAAAAGGATTAAATTCATTGATTCTTACCCACACCTCGCCCCTCCTTCGTCCTAGCAAGGTGTACTCTCCAACAGAACTTAACGAAAATGTGCTATACCTTTCTATCTCTGGATGATATCTTCCCCCATTCTCATTCTCACATCGCCTCACGTCATACCTTTCACCGAAATTCTTCAACTCGGCGGCGATATAAGCTCCATTTGCATATTTATTATTTGTTCTATCTATCACCCTTACCTGTTCTATTCTTGATCTATACCCCTTTTTTGTCTTGCTTCATATTTTACTGTTCGTTGCCATTGTCTTATAAGAACAGTGCCCTGTACATACACAAATTTTTACACCATCTATCACTTCAGATGTTCATTTATACCCTGGTTATCTCGCGTAGTATTGAGGTATATCTAGTTGTATTGAGTTGCTATATGCTGATCTAACCATGTCAGTTCTCATGCATAATCTGATCGCGCACACCGACAGAATCAAAGTCCACAAAACAAAGAAAACAGAATAGCACTCCACAATCCAACGCCACATAGTCATCAGATTCAGGTTAACGCTGAAGATCAATAGTACATACATATATTGACCATACTTCCCCACGGGAAGAACGGACCATCTAGACGGGAGATACACTCGACAAGGGCAAGGACAAACAGCAGCTGAAGAATGAGATCAGACAGGAAGTACTTTCAGGACAAACACTCATATCACAAGCAAGAGAGACAGAGAGACACCAACACATCCCAGATCCAGTTATAGACCTCATGACTCAAATTCAACCTTGCTGACGACGTTGTGGGACGAGCTCTGTCCCTGTTGTTGGTGGTGGTGACTGCTGCTGCTGCCTTCAGCTGCGCTGTGTGGAAGTTCGTCCTTGTCGTCCAGGAGGGATGCATCTTCCTTTTTATGAATGCTGACCACTTCGGCGCCTTCCAGAAGGTCCCGGTCTGTGTCGCGGACGCTGCGCCGTTCTGGGTCTGCGCCGTAAGCACCGGCGCCCCAGCTGGAGATGCCGCCGACGATGGCTGGCGAGGCCGAAGTGCCACTGCGAGGGTCGTAGTCCTCCTCGTCGTCCTCGTCGTCCTCTTCCTGGGGCCGGCTGAGAGCGTTGCGTTCCAGTTCGCGTTGTGCTTCGTCCATGCGCTTCTTGACCTCGGCGGCCATCCGGATACCATCTGAAACGATGTTGTCTAGGACACCACGTAGGCCCTTGCCTGGTGGAACGATCCCACCGGATGCACCTGCAACGGTGGCACCGGCAGCAGCGCTGGCGTGGGGTTTAGGCGTGTTGATGTTAGAGAAGGTGGTGAGGTTGGACGAGAGAGATGTGAGTTTTGCTGCGGGAAGTGATTGGTCGCCAAGGCGGAATGACTGAGGGAAGAACGTATCGAAAAATTGTTCTAGTAGCTCGTCGGCCAATATGACCATGCGGAATGTGGGAAGGGTGATGTGTAGAGGATTGTTAGGGTCAAGGGCTGGGTTTGCAGCCTCTGATGCGCCCCGGTGGTGCTGGGTATCACTGTCGTGCTTCTTCGAATCGGCTGGTTCAGGTTTCGCTTCGTCACCAATATCGATGAGGTCTTCTTCTTCATCGTCGTCACCAATGGCAAATGCGTCAAGCTTTTCAGTTGCTTCTTCCGTATCTGTGTCCTTTTGTTCTTGTGTAGGCTTGCCCTCCGGGTTGCTGGGATCGGCGTATTCAAAGCAACGGCGGATGAACGAGCTGACACTCCCCAAGAATCTCTCATCAGTGCTAAGTTTATCCTGTTCGAAGCGGTCGCGCTCGCTAGCCTCCTCCAGAGGTTCGCTCGGGGTAATTGCACCGTCAAAGCCTCGCCGAGAGAGGAAAAGGAGAGCTTCTGACATTCTTAGGATTCCCTCCCGGTCGACAGTGCCATTCCCGTTGTCATCATACAGATCAAAAAAGTAGTTGATATTGTTCATAATGTCACGGGGTCCCTTGAGGCGTGCAAGTCCATTGACCACATTTTGTAGGCTAAGCCCCTCGGATGGCTCTGTGGCCCACTTCTGGAAGAGTCGCTGCATGAATTCGTGGTCCGCTGGCTCCGATTTGTTGTTCCACGCCAGAGACTTCCCAAATCCTCTGAAGCTACTGGCGTTCTGTTCAGCATTCGACTCCTTCCGTGAAGACCCCGGGGTGTCTCCTACTGCCCACTTTGCAGTAGCCGCGAGAAAGTCGCGGAAAGCATCGTAATCCATATGAGTGGGACTGGGCCCGAGACCTACACGGCCAACTTCTCGGTCCACTGGAGGTCCCAGGATGGAGGAGGTGCGTTCAACTCTCTTCCTTTGTTGGCGCTTCTTCTCTTCGTCCAGAAGTCTTTGCCGCTGCTGGTGCTCATAAAGAACCTCGTAGAATCGGTCATAGATCACGCCCAAATCATCCATGCTGAGCTTCTTGCTGTCCGGGCCCAGGTTCCGAATGGACGTGCGTTTGGCAAAGCTCTCAATATTCTCCAAAACGGCGTCTTTGTGCTTCTCACGCTCATCCGTAATCGTCTGGTGGGTAATTCCTGAGAACTCTTTGAAAGCGACTACCATTAGTTCCTGGAACCGGGTGATAGCCCTCAATTTGGGATTCTCGGATCTAGGGTGCGCCGATTCGTCCAGACGAGAGAAGTATGACTTGAGGACTGATATGAAAGACCCGTCATCTTGTATGTCGAGAAGCTCCTCACCATTGATACGAAGGATGGCTAACCCAACTTGAAAGAGAACCTTCGGCCCTTCCAGGAAAAATACATCCAACACCCGGAAAGCGAAAACCAAAGGCATGGAGTTGATGTAGAGAGAGAGAAACCATGGGAGTGACACAACGGAAAGCTGGACATCAGATTTGGTGAGATGGTCCCAAAGGACCGGCATGGTTTTCTCGACGAGGGACTCAAACACCTTTTGATCGAGCAATGTCCCATACATAGTTGTCGAGTAGTACCCTGGCAATAGACGGTCACACAAAACGGACAAGAGGAAAAAGGCTTGCGCCTCGGACATGTAACTAATGGAGTTAGCGATGACTTAAGGAGGTGACGACGAGGTGTTATACATTAACAGGGCCGCGACAACGATATTCATAGCCTGACAGTACCCAATCTCCGCATTGGTCCAACTGTAGGCTGTCAGGACTCTACGAAGTCGTCCTATGCCTTCCTCGCTTTGATACCCAGCATATTCAGGCAAACTCCGGTTCAAGTCTTTTTCAATCTCATCGATAGCCAAGGATTCTCTCCCAGAGAACTTCGAAAGAGTCTCTGTATATGAATTTGGCGACCTGAGGCGGAGGTACAGAGATCCGGACGACAGCTCCCAGATTTCACCGCGGAGGCGGTTCGGAAGCCCAACCCGAATCAGCTTATGAAATGTGGGTTGTCGAATCAGAGTTGCGTTGCGGCCATTTTCTACAGGACACTTTAATATACGGTTTGCATGGGGGCAAAGCCGAGCCTAGGATATCATACCTCTGAAATATTCCCCCCATAATCTCATTTTACTTCTGTCCCGGAGCTTGCGCGCATCTCCAGGGTAGCGAAAGATCATCCCTAGGCCGGCATCTGGTGGCTGACGCACCTCTGCATTATCACTGTCCTGAGCCTTGGACTTGGCACCAGACAGCAAGTACTCCGAATAACAATCATTTACGACTACCCGCAAATTCTCGATTTCTTTCATGCATTCTCGTAATCCCTTCTTCAGCCCATCGCAGAATCGTTCACAGGCCTGCCTGCTCCCGACCAGCTGAATCGTAAATCGTTGGGGGATAAAGCCGGGGCTCTGTTGCTTCCCCAGCGCACCATTCCATGTTGTGAGAGCGAGCGAAAACACATGACTCAAGCTATTCAACCGTTCCACTCGCCGGACGCAACAAAGGGGGAGGGTAAACCCATTACCGAACGGCCCAGTCCCATTCGTTTGACCAGCCCAATGAGTTGAAGCGCTATGAGTCGCGGAAGGTGCGAAGCTGGTGGGTTGAGTAGTAAAGCAGATAAACCGTTCACTCAAATGCAGTCGGCCGGCATAGCGATTCCCAGCACGGTCAAGGTTGCGAGGTTGATCTCCGGAGGATGTTGAAGACGAGGTATGTGGGATAGGAAGGATTAGTTCGGCAGTTATCTCTTGTAGGGGATTCTGAGAATCCGGAAGTCGAAATTGCTGGCGAAACAGGGAAGCTTTCGAAGGGTTGCGATCGGTGGAAGTGAGCGTGGGGAGAGTGAAGTTGGCCGGGTCGATCAATGACTGGGCTTTTTGAACGAAAGACGTCCACTGCATCATGATGCCGGGTCAGAGTTGCGGAACTCCCCAACACCGAGTAATCCGAGACGTCTCTCAGCTGCCTGAGCGGAGGAGGTTGTAAGGCTGAAGCTATGGCCGGGCGGGAAGCGGCAGATGATGCAGCTCTTGACGGCGAGCAAGCTCTGGGCAATCAGTAGTTATATAAGCACGCCCTTGGTTGGAAGTGTGGGAAATGGTAAGTCAAGGCTCATCGTAAAGACAGGCGCAACATCCTTCCAAGGGGCTTACGCGCCGCAGTAACTTGGAGCCGGAGATGTTTAGACTTGACTGCTGGAAGCGGAAGAGGGGAATCAACCTTACGCCCGGCGGCCTTCCCATCCAGGCATCCGCCGCTGACCCTCACGTGATGCCCTGCAGGTGAAACAGCCAAGAGCAGCCGGCTGTCACGTTCTATTGAACAGGGTCATTAATTCTCTTCTATTATATCATAGCTTATCATGCGGAGGATGACGGGCTCGGGAACTGTTATGTCCGTCGCGATACATGCGCTTTACAATGCAGTCGGGGACGAATACAATCTCGATTCCTAAACTCATAGAACACCGAACTACACAACAGCCCTCAGGAATTGCGAAACCGCGTAGGCGGGGCACGTTCCTGAAAGGGCAAGTATACAAAAATAGTAATAACAAAAGGATAAGGAGGTAGTAGACCAGCTTGAAGAAGAAAGGGTGATGTTAAATGAAAGAAAGTAGGCTTGAAGTCAATCATCCCTAAAAGCCACTGCGAACCAATACAAATTCCTAGATCCTATATCCTATTTGGCAGAGCTGAGATAGCTTCCCGCCGATCCTTTTGTCCTTCCCAGAAGATACATTCTTTCTATCTCAACGCCCGAAAAATTGAAAATCGTTCAGTTCTTGTGGTCGGCTGCTGCCTCAGCTGTGCCCTCCTCGTCGCTGTAAGCAGGAGGAAGGTCATCAGTAGTCTCGACCATTAAGCCCTGCTTCTCAGAAGTAGTGCCTTGCTCCAGTGACTCTTCGCGGTCAGAACGGCGATAGCGCTGCCACAAGAACACGACCACCTGGCCAACCAGCATACCCACAGCACTGGCAGCCAATCCTGCCAGAACGCCCAGCGCAGCCGGGATGACAATAAAGCGGACAACGCGAGAGGCAGTGCGCTCCCAGTTACCGTGTGAGCCATGGTGCATATGGTGGTGGTGAGGGTGGCCAGGACGTCCCATGTGGCCTTCGGCCTGGGGCGGGAACGGCATACCATCTTGGTGGTGGTGAGGAGGACGGGGACGACCGCATTGTGGCTTGGGGCCCATAACACCGAGCATACGGGCTTTGGCGGCAGCGAACAACGCACGAATCCGGTTGAACAGAAGTCTCTTTAGGCACATCGGCTTGCCGCGGCACTGTCTCCAAGAAACACGGTTGGGGGTGTTGTCCTCGATGTCGGTCTTGACGATGTAAAGATTACCCTCAGGGTCGTGGAGGAGGTTGATTGCAACGGTGTTCAGCGGGACAGGGTGGCTGTCCAAGTCGAGGACAGTGAAACGAACAGCAACCAGGTCGACAGGTTCCTCTGGCGGAGAAGGCAGCGGCAGCATCTCGACGGCATATCCCAACGGGATAGGCTCCGACTCCTCATCATCCGATAGACGGCGCTGGACAGCGGTGATGATGGTTGGAGGAGGGGGAGGGAATATCTGACGTCCGTTGGCCAGCAAGGTACCATCGTCAATCGAGAAGTTTAGAGACTGTCGGGGATCATTAGTGGTTCCGTATGGATTTGGTCGAGAATAACAAGCTCTATACTACGATGGGTGGGGGAGGGGGTCCACTTACTAAGGCAGTTTGGAAACCGTCAGTCCAGCTGACCTTCCCATTTTCGGAGACTTCTTTGAAAGGGCACTCAGTGCAGACGAGATCGACCTTCTGTTGCTGAGAAGCGTGAGATTCAAGAGGATGGAGACCGGCAAATTCAGGTTCAGAGGCGATGGCCTCTACTTCGACTTCCGGAACGACTAGGAAAGCGTTGGCGCCTAGAACGGCGGCGCTCCCGAGAAGGAACGAGCGGAGATGCATGATGTTGTTGGTGGAAGGAGTTAGAAGATGAACATGAGAGTTGGACTGGGATTAAATATGAACCGTTGAATAGAATTAGAAGTTGAATGTAGACAAAGGAGATGACGATGAATGATGATGATGGGAGAATGAGAGAGAGAAAGAAGGGCAGAGAGAGTGAGAGACTAGTCGTAGTAGGGAATGGAAATGGGGGCATAAAGGAAATGTGTATGCCTGAAGATTAAGGGCAGGGCGGCTATGGATTGTTCTGGTTCGCTGGATGAATGTCTGGTGGCGGAGGACGTGACGCAACACGATGTTCCAGGCTTTACTCCTTAGGGATTAGCGCTCTTCCAGAGTTGTTTGACTCCATCTTAAAAATAGACACGGATGTGCAGGAAATGAAAGCTTATGCTCTTCAACAGTACTTTGAGTATTCAATATATACAACAACATTAACTTTGTCGTCAACTGAGATACCCTGACAACTATCAATATTGAACGTCCCATCTATCATGACCCTGCGCCAGTTTAAACCCTTTCCGCCGCTTCCGGTCTCTTCTCACTTTCATGGCCTACATACTGGTAGATTGTTAACACGATCAAAATCATGGCGCCAACGCCCGGTTAGATTAGAAGGAATGAAATAGTAAGACACTCCATAGGCGTTTCTAACAATTGCGGCTCGCACTGTGGTTCGTCACGAAAATGCCACGACACGATCTCTCCAACACTACTGCTCCGTGTCCTAGGACTTCCGTGGCTGGGCTACTCAGCCTTGAATGATGATGCCCTTGTCTTGTCATTGGAAGGGTCTGTTCCTCGCTGAAGAGAATAAGCATTTTCTCAGGGACTTAACAAATGGGGTATCCAAAGATGTGCACACCAAGACGACTAGGAGGCGTTGTCACCCTAATGCTATCGGATCTATATTGGATCTCTTGCTCATCTCGTAGGCTAACATTTGCATAAATTCGAATTCAGAGTCCCGATTCCTCTGGATTCTCGTTCGTAGGTTTGTCGATTCCTGGTTTGTTTCAAGCAGTTTCTGGTGATTAGTCTCGCCACCGGATCGCATATACCACAAGAGTGCGATGCAAAGCAGAAACAGCCACCATTTGGCTCCAACCCTTGAGACGGATGTTCTCTGCAGATCCTGCCGTTCCATATTACTTTCCTCACTAGCTGGTTCCTCGGTCATTGGTGCGGTTTCCTCTTTGACATGAACGCGTGGATCTTGAATCGGAACTAGCTCGCCCTTCGCATTGATTCGGAAGCGAGACGATTTGTAGCGCATAGACGATATTGACGGCTCTTCTGCTACTATGGCATCACGCATATTCTGGTAACCTGCAAGCTGAAGCGATGGTGAGATTCTGATCCGTTGCAGGTCTATTATGGGCCGGAACCTTGGTATTGGTTGCCGCTGTGGAGCTGGTGCTCTGGCCTTCACCGGGAAATATATCACGCCCGTATGCCTTGGTCGAAATGATCTCGAAATGCCAAAGATGCTCATTCCTTCCCCTCTTTTTACCTGATTCACGTTCTCCAAATAGCTCTTGATAGTTGGAATGGCTGTGGGCTTGGACTGGGGCACTGAACTTGACGTGGAGACGTTCGCAGAGACGCTATCAACGTTGAGTATATTAGCCATCACTTGTGTACAAATAAAAGGATCTGGAATCCTCTTTATCATGGGGTTCGCCATTGTCTTGCATCCGACCTTTGTCATCCATTGTCCAGGTAGTGCATCGCCCTGGTCAGGTTATGGCACTGGTTGCTTCTGGATTAGTTGAATGAAATCATTGTCATATCTATCAAACATATCACACTGACCTTGCGTTGGCAGGGCGCATGACACAATCAAAGATTCTCTGTGATGCTTGAGTAAGCTCCGCATCTAGCGTAAAGACATGCGAATCTATGGGTTGACCGACTGGATCCTGTGTGTCATTGAACACGACAGTATCCTGCGGTGCACTGCCATACATATGAAACCAGCTGTTTTGCCCTGCACACTCTTGCTCAGTACTACCCACCTTGTGATACGTCTTGCAATCCACTCACCTATAAATGTGGCCTGCGGTGGCTGGATGTAGCTGGCAAACATCTGCCCCTCCCCTAAATTGGGATGACCCCCTGGTGTTATAGGAATAGAGGGTGGGGGAGTTGTCTCGGGCGGCTCATATTCGCATTCACTCTCCTCTTGTGCCTGCGCATCTGCTCCATTGGCCCCGCAACTAGCCTGGGTCTCAGCGATTATGTGCGAGAAATTTCGCTCCAGGAAAGGATTGAGCCCACAACCAGACCTTTCCCCATGGATCAAGTCATCTAAATCGCGTTCCAAATCAGCCAAACCACGATTTCCAGCTGCAGCCCGAGAAGCAGCACGCCACATAGATTCTCCCCCATCACCAACCTCTGAGACAATATCCATCCTATCAGCCAAAAACTGTCGATATCTCCTGCAGAGATCCTCCATCTCATCAGCAGCACGACTGATCCGAAACAGTATCTCCCCCAGAATCTCACCTTCTTCGACCAGGAGATACCTCCACGCGCAGACATCCGCAGCCCAGCACGGATTCTCGACCTGCCCGATGCGGCGCCGATACTCGTCGATCATGGCCTGCCTGTCCTCCAACACTGCATTCAAATCATCGACCGTATACCCCCGAAAGCGAAGCTGGGCCTCCCAAGCCCTCGTCCTCGCACAAGCGTCGGCCAACAACTCAGTATATCTCATCATCTGCTCTTGGGCCTGCGCGTAGGCCTCCTCTGCTGACTGAAAATAGTGCTTCTGGGTCTCGAAAGTCGACTGCGCAACGTACGACATATATTGCGCGAGCTCGTACGCTTGGTCTGCGGCTTCGAGGTCCTGTCTGTAATTTTCGTTCTCGCACAGCAGTCCACTGATTGTCTGTATGAGTTCTTTATTGTTGGCTTGGAGGTTATGTCCATCTGTTAGATATTCTTGGGGGTCGATATTTTCGCTCTGATGCTGGTGGTGGAGATATGTGTAGTTTACAGCCTGTTGCCAGGTATAGTGCGAAGATCCTCCGTGGAAGGACATGGTGAACGGGGGTATTAAACGAAATAGATGGAAAGAAAGTAAATCAAAGGGAATGTAACGAGGTAGTATGGAAGTTGCAAGCTTGAACTAGCGAATGTGAAACTAGGTAGTAAGGTGACTGGTAGAGAAAAGGAAAGACGCAATTGGAGTATGATATTGTGCTACTATCGCTATGCATCAGGTTTAGAACAACAGGGGGGATCATGCAAATAGAAGAGAACATACATGCTTCATTAAAAGGTAATTCGGGGTTTTTATGTCCATCGCTATGGTGGTAGATCGGAAGATTGAGTGAATACGAGTGTCCTAGAGCTACAGTAATCAGGAACATATTTGGCAGCTGCATATAGCAGTAAGCTGTAATTGCTGAAAGAAGAGTGAATGGTTCCATTGTCACTGGTTAGTTGGTCGTGGAAGTTGATGAGCATAGAGACGATGCGTGGCTGATTGTTAGTCAAGGAGGGAATGTTGTGTATGCTCCGTCTTTTAAACAGGATTATATGGACTACAAGTGTAGGAAAACCATGAGGTCAAGAGATACAGTGCACAACCATGTATCAAATTGAATATCTAACCTATTGTTAATTCTATAAAGCAAATCTACGGAATGCAAATATCAACTCAAAGCTTCGACTTCTGTCCCTTTACATTAGGAACGGCGTCTCCCGTAAGAAGGAAGTCGGGGTATGCCAGAGCTCCGGATGCTGCACCACCAGAAGACATACGCCAGCTTGCACCATCAACTGCAAAAGTCAGCAAGTCGTGGTCTTTTCAATGAAACGTAGGGCACATACCAACTAGTGTTTGACCAGAGACATAGCTTCCGGTATCAGCAAAGAGGTACACCGTGGCATCTGCAATGTCCCGAACAGAGCCAAAGCGTCCTAGGGGCTGCGTCTTTATGTATCCTTCCATAGCATCGGCAGGGACCAAACGATCCACACCCTGATCCAGTTAGTATGAATGTGTTTGTCCATGTCAGTAATAAGGATGTTGAGCCTACCTCTGTCGACGCGATTGGGCCAGGGGCGATGATATTGGACGTCACGCCTAGTGGGCCAAACTCAATGGCAACACTGTGAGACAGGGCATCGACGCCAGCTTTCGCTACCGACACATGCGTTTGGAAGGGCATGGTCCTGTAATGGATGGTAGCGCTAACGAATATGATGCGTCCACCGGTGCCCAGCGGAGAGGGCTTCACTAGACAACAGTTCAGCATATCTCTCGCGACAGCACAGATAGGTCGTCGAATACTTACGGGACTTAGAGTCAACCTTGTGCTTGTTGGCGGACTCAACCAGGTGCGGAAGGGTTGCTTTCAGGGTGTTGTAAGAACCCAGAACATCAATGTCCATCACAGACTTGAAAGCATTGACCGAGAGCTGGTTGATCGAAGCGAGGAAGTTCCCGGCCGCACCAGCGCTGAACCAGGTTAATTGGAGGAATCAAACAAAGACAAGGTTGCACTCATACATCACATAATCTATACCGCCCAGCTCCTTGACACAGCGGTCTACTGCGTCTTTCAGGCTGTCGAACTTGCGCACATCAACCGCACCGATGCCAATGGCCTTGGCACCTGGACGAGCCGTGGCGATGTCCTGAGCTGCTTTCTCGGTTTTCTCCACGTTTCGGCCTATAATGCAGGCATTTGCGCCCAGGTGGACAAGGGCGCGGACCTGGGCACTGCAGATGGTTCCTGCACCACCAGTGCAGAAGACGACCTTGTTTGCTATCCGCGTTCAGCGATATTCACATGTTGCCCCCTTTGAATACAACGTGGCAATACATACTGAAAAGGCCATCCTTCCACGTCTCACTCAAGTATTCTGACTTGGCAAGAGGCATTCTGTCTATGAGTGTATTTAACTGTGGTATGAACGTATGAAGTATGTACAGCAGAGACAGAAGGTTGAAGGCCAGAGAGATGATGTTCTAGTGGACGGAGTAGTCACGACAGGTCTTACTTAATTGGCTTTTGCGGAGAAGCTCCACTGAACGGGGGAATGCCGCGGTTCGGTCGGAGCCTCGGGAGTGATAACATCAAATCGAATTATTGTTTAATCAACATTGTCTAGTGCAGAGTAGGATGTGTATAAAAAGCTCTTGGCAAGAGACCCCTCTGGATAGTCTCCGATAGGGTATCCATAAGTCTATTCATTGAAATTATCTTATGTTCATGGGGAGATCCGATGTTCGAGATCTGGCTGCATGTATCACGTGCAACTGTAGATATTGCTAACCGTTGTGCTAATCTCAAGATTTACCTAGTGTTTTGAATTCCTGTCTACTGCTTTCAAATAATTCAATTAATAAAATTTATCTAGATAAGCATACCATGATCTGCAATTACAGAGGTAGTATACCACATGGATGTACATGGACAACGCCAAACCAACACATCCGGCCTAATCCAGACACTCTGATTGGCCGCCTGGAGTTGGGCCACTGTCACGACGTCATGTTTGACAAAACTCCACATGAAGCAAACAATTTAATCTTCTTTTGTTCTTTTCCTTTCCTTTCCTCTCATCTGCAAACCCACCGTATATGAGCCACTCTCATCTATCGCAAGGGATCTCCGATCATTTTGGTCTCTATTACCACACCCATAGAGCGTTCTCCTTCTCAATAGCTCTCTCCCTCCCCATCATGGCCTGTCCACTCACTGTCAGCAAATTCGTGGGCACTGTCTCCCTCGGCCTTCTAACCGTAAGTCCTCCCTTGCACCGACAAAAACAACAAAGAAAACCCCCCCAGAAGACCATGAAACGAGAACTATACTCCCCCAGAACCCCAGCAAGAAACCAAAAATTCAGAAGGCCATAAAACAAAAATACTAATAACAATCCAGGGCCTCTCCTACTCCGCCTCAACCGTAACCATCCCATCTCTATCCCTCCTGCCCACCTCCGCCAACGCATCCCGCTCCCTCCGCGAAGTAAAGCGCCTGAACCGCAAACATGGGCTCCGTCTAACCAACCTCGCCAATGGCTGCCTCCTCTTCGCATACTGCGCCTCCCCGAAACACCGCAAACACCCGTACCTGATGTGGATGGTCGCCACTTCCATTATGGGCACCTATGGCGCGGACTACTTCTTCCACCGGTCGATGGGCTTCAAGGCGTGGGTCCAGAGTTTCGTCCAGGACGTCGGCTGCGCATCGTTCTGTCGCAAGAACACCCAGAAGAAGGAAGAGGATCTTGTCGTCGTGGAGGCTGAGGAGAATGTGAACGGCGAGAGTGTGCAGCGGGAGATGGATACGGAGCGGAGGTTCCAGTGCGTGCGCGCTGTTTTCTCGGGCCTTGCGCTTGCGATGGGTATTGTTGGACTTTGGGGGGATAGAAAATAGATGGGAAGGGTTTGGTTTGTTTGCATGGCCATTGGGGGTTCTTTTTTCATTTGTTAACCTTCTGACTTTGATGGTGGTTTTGTATACCTGGGAAGCGGTGTATCTCCTCTCCGTTTTTTGTTTCTTCTTTGGTTCGGGGCGATAACTCTATAATGTATGTTATGTATATTGACAGCGCAATGACATTGCTGGGACTCAGTACCGACTGCAGTTTATATATAATATTTCAGAACGTAGGAATCTCAAGAAAGCACACTACTCAAAAGAAGAAAAAGAAAAGAACAAAAATCTAAAATGCTCCTAACCAACGGACCCCGCATCTTTTCGTCCCACTAAAGTTGTCGATAGTATTATCCATAAGATACTAAGCTCCAGCAAAGCAAGATACAACCTCATAAATCCGGAATCCAGTAAGCTCCCCATTACATAGCTCCGCAGTGGAGGTGGGGGTGGGGGCGGAGAGTGGACGATCAATTCAACCCAACCCCGGAACCAATCAACAAGCACACACCTGAATCCGGCCGATCTATATAACGCATGCATCAACCCATCTTTCTTCTCTTCCTGCAGCATCATCTGCACTGAAAAGTCCTAGAGAAAGTAGGAGGATTCATATATCAAGATGTATATCCTACTCCTCCTCCCCGTCCTCATCGTATCCTACCACGTTCTTCATCTTATCTACACTACCTTGACAACAAAATCCCTCCTATCTGTTCCTGGGCCGTTCATCACTCGTCTCACGAAATTATGGTACTTTGATCGTGTCCGACGGGGCCACTTTGAAGAGGATAATGTCCGACTTCATGAGCAGTATGGTCCGGTTGTGCGCATCGCCCCGGACCATTACAGTATTAGTGACCGGGCCGCGGTGAAGCTGGTCTACGGAACGGGCACCAAGTTTACCAAGTCGGCGTGGTACGAGGGGTGGAAGCATCCGAGTCCCGAGCGATGGACGTTATTCCCCGATCGGGATGTTCGGAGACATGGTAGGTTTTCTTTTTTCTGTTTTGGTTGATCTCGTTCTTGCTCTGTAGTTCGTGCGAGAGTATAAAGCTGAGGGTTGATGTAGCCGAAACAAGGAAGAGATTCTCAGGATTGTATTCGATGAGTTCGTTGGTGCACTATGAGGAATTTGTGGACCACTGCACCGATATCTTCTCCCAACGGTTGACGGAGCACGCGCAGCGCGAAGGAAGTCTCAACCTTGGGCACTGGTTCCAATGTTATGCTTTTGACGTGATTGGGGAGATTACATTCGGCAAGCGATTTGGTAAGTACACATATGTATCTTGGGGTCCGAGATGGTTATGTATTGATAGGAATAGGGTTCTTGGACCAGGGCGACGACATCGAAGGGACCATTGCTGCACTGCAAAAGACCATGGTGTACAGCACTCTGATCGGTATCTACCCGGAATGGCATCCGCGGCTATTCGAACTGCTGAGCCATTTCAGCTGGTCTGGCGCGGGCGGAAGAACGTACATCATGCAGTACGTGCAGGAGAAAATTCGCCGACACAGTCAGCCTGCCAAGCGTGATCCGGAGCAAGGGACGCTGCAGACGCAGGACTTTCTCGAGAAGATGATCCTCGCTCGAGACAAGGATCCAGAGAAGGTCACTGATTATCACTTATTCATGATGGGTTTGTCGAACGTGATTGCCGGTTCAGATACTACCGCTATCAGTCTTTCGGCGATAATGTACCACCTGCTGCACTATCCTGCAGTTTTGGAGAAGCTTCGACGCGAAGTGGATGACTTTACCGCGCAAGGCCGCTGCAGTTCTCGTGTGACGTTCAAAGAAAGTCAGGAAATGCCTTACTTCCAGGCCGTCATGAAAGAGGCTCTTCGTATGCACAGTGCCACTGGTCTCCCACTGTGGAGGGTCGTCCCCGCTGGCGGTGCGGAGATCAGTGGATATTACTTCCCAGAGGGTAGTACGGTAGGAATAAACACTTGGGTGGCACATTATGACGAAGAGATCTACCCAGATGCGAAGACATTTCGCCCAGAGCGCTGGATAGAAGCAGAGTCTGATCCAGAAAGACTGAAAATTATGAATGAGATGTACATGCCGGTAAGATCTCCGTTCCGTCTTCCTCGAGAATAGCGTTAACTTCGGATAGTTTGGTCTCGGGTCGAGAACGTGTCTTGGAAAGCATATCTCCATTCTCGAGATGTCGAAATTGATTCCCCGTCTTATTCGGGACTTCGACTTTTCTACCACAAGCAAAAAGTGGTCTACTGAGAACTATTGGTTTGTCAAGCCAACTGATTTCGTTGTGCAAGTCCGCAGGCGGACATCCAATGTCAAACAATTGTAGCTGGTATTCTTGCTTAACGGGCGCGTATTATGTGGATGGAGGGGCACTTAGACTCATTCGTCGATACTCCATTATCAAACCATTGACATCCACCATATCTGTATGATCGTATCGAGATAAATCCGTTTGGCTTTTAGGAAGACTTCCCGATTGTACTCTAGCTACGATGATTCGTGCCAAGTGCCAGAATTCGGCCGCATAGCGTACAAAGCCTATTTTCTTCCAGATAGTGTGTGGATCATCCGGTGTGTATCTGTCTTCAGGAATTCTCTTGTTCCAGATACGTCCCCAGTTTTCCAAGCCAGTCTGAATGGGTGTGAAGGTAGACTCAAAAATAAGTGAGTTCTGAAGACTAAAAATGAGCGCGTGGAGTGCTATACCAAAGAATCTATCAGCAGTGGTTTGAATGTGCATATTCTGGCACTCACATAGTACAATTGTACACATATTCAGTGTTCCCATTCGAGAATATTCTTGCACAAGATTATCATCCAAGCTTCTCTGACAGATTCTTCTTACCACTACCGACATTGAAAGTCTTTCGCGCCAAAAGATGCTATCCTTCCATGCACTCAAGGCTGTGAAGCATTCCGTAGCCGATCTCGCTTGAAAGCATTCTTCTGGGCTGGCCATATCCATTTTCAATTCGGACACCACCATCCGTGGAGGCGAGTTATGCAACATTGTGATTGCCGAGTCAATGCAGAAAACATATAAGAGGGATCTATACAATGTTAACCAGTAGTCTATACACCATTGCATATTAATCTCACCGTATTCGTTCTTCCTCAACTATAAATTTCCGCCACCAAGATTCGGAAGGGTCCTTCAGTTCAAGATCCCGGTGCGACGCAGAGAGGCCAATATTTCTCGCCAGCTTGTTCTAAAGTGAGCATGGAAGCTGTTATCGGGGACAGAGCAAGGATTACCGTCACCATCATTGCATGTCGGTATCTGCGACTTCTTGTTTGTGCCTCGGTCGAGCCCTCTCTTTTTTGTAAAGAACATACTAGGTACGTCATCTGCAGACACTCTACACGCCTCTTTTTCCATTCTGTTTGTCCCTCGAGCACAGGCGGTGTGGTTTCCAAGGCAGACTTTTCCTGGAATACCTCGTTGCTAAAAACCAATTCTTCCACAGTGTCGAGCCACATCCTTGCAAGCGACCTATCTCCATCATGGGGGGAGAGACAAGCCCCAATAACTACCATGACACATAATAGGGTCAATGGGGCTGTCTGTGGCTTGAATGATGGTCGGTGTACGATCGGACAGTTTGGGTACCAGAGGGACCAGAAATATCCCAAGAAGCGGCGTATGTTATTGGGTGCAAACAGGGTACTGCATGATTCCTGCACCGAGGGGCTCCAATCCAGCTTAATGATACTTCTGTACGCTTTCTGAGTAATCAGGGTTTGGAGGTCATGAATAATTTCTTGGCTTCTAAGAAAAAGAAGGTCTGAATCGTCTGATATCATGTGTACCACAGATGGGTCGATCGTATTTTCGGCGGCGTTTCCCCATGAATTAGGAAAGAATTGCCTCACAGCTGAGTTACAAGTGTCATCCAGGCTCGTTGTATCACGGTCGTATCCATACACTTCAATATGTCGTTCATACTCTAGTAATACTTTCTGCCATTGTTTAAGAGTGTCCTGGTCCAGGAAAGTCGCTATCCCCTTAGCACTTGTAAAATATGCTAGGAATTCTAGTCTCTCGGCCAGGGCTGTACTATCTGGTGTTAAATCTTGAGAGTACAGCAAATCGAGGGCTTCGAAATCAGATGAAGCGGGGATATGGGCTAGACAAGCGTCCTCGTCAGCTACGTCTGGGTCTGCATTTTGAAAAGGAGCTTCGTTGACACTGTGACTAATCTCCTTATTACACACAGGGGCTAGCGTGCCAAGTGCATTGATGGCACTGGTCTGTGCTTTGCATGTTTTCTCATGACGCTTCGTTGCATCTCTGCGACATTAGAGTTATGCGATCAGAAAACGGTGTCCAGTGGACATACTTTCGTGTAAATGTTCTCCGACAGAAGGCACATGCGTACGGCCGCTCATTGTCATCTGCGGCTATTAGCCAATTTCATGTTGCTACGGTGGCCTGCATACGTGATCTGAGGTGCCGTCTGAGATGCTCCATCCGAGTAAAGTGAGCAGAACAGACGCTGCACAGCCATTGACGGTTGGACATTGTGAGTACGAACAGCTTCACATGTGATTTGCTTTTCCAAAGAGTATGTTACCCTAAGAGAATAGAGCTAAATAGGAGTAAGACAGTTCTGCACCAGAGCTTGGCAAACGATGCGGGAGATCGACCGACGTCGTAGCCGTCGTCGTGGGATGCGGGGAAACAGCACAGCAGTCGGTTAATCCCAACCGATGTGGAGCCGAGTGGCTGGTTGCATCGGTTAACATGTATCATTACATCTTAGTACCCTAGTTATCAAGTGCGCCAGAAGCTTGTTGTTGTGCATAGCGAGCAATATCTGAAAAGTGGCCTGGTGCCCGGATAAGCATAGTATTGTAGTATAATGACCGTTCGAAGTCTGATTAGTACTACGTGTGGTATGGAGACATCATAAGAAAGCCCATGGTTCAGTGGACTTCTTACTCAGAAGGCGGTGCAGAATGAAACAGTGTATAGAAGCATTCTCACCAACGTCTCTGCGACAGCTTGGTGGCAGATAGTACTAATATAGTCGAGCAGTTACGGAGGATGGACCAGAAATCGAAGGGTCCTGATCTGTTATTCCTGGGCTGGAACCATTGTGGTATCTCCACTTGCTTCAAAGCGATAACTATTCAACAATTGGGCAACTCGACCTTCGATGGCGGGGCCACGTTAAGGAAATGTGGGTCAGACTAACCAGATGGAGGTCAGCTTGCGAGACGGGTTGTTTATAATGCGATACTTCCCATTCGAGGCGGTTACTGTCTCTAAAATGCAAAGGTAGATCTATATTCGTTTATGAGTCGACCAGGTAGTCTCGCTGAATATGCTAGTAGCCTGCTCAATAGGTCACTACTTCCCACATCCTGTACCTGTTGACGATCAATCCGATATTTAACATAAGACACCGCCATAACGTCTGCGATCGCATTCAAGAAAATTGTTTGAATTGAACACTTTTGTGGTGTTCAGATTATGATTATGTACACATAATACATTTTAAAACTTCAAGACAGCTTTGCCTTTGTTTTTGCCATAGAAAATGCCCACCAGACCCTCGGCTGCGTTCTCGATACCGACGGTCTCATGGGTTAGAGCCTTGAAAGTCCCTTCGCTAATCCACTTCTGTACCTTCTTCTGGTGTTCTTCCATGTACGCATCGGCAAAGCCTGGATTTGCGACAATAAACCCGCGCATTTCAAGACTCTTGGTCACAATCTTGTGTAGATTCTTAATCGGGTGTGGAGCACTGTTGTACTCAGAAATCATTCCACAAGCAACGATGCGGCCGAATTGATTCAAGGCGTCAATGGCCGCCTCAAGATGTTCGCCTCCGACATTCTCATAGTAAATATCCAATCCCTGGGGAGCAAGTCGAGCAAGGGCACTCGCTGGCGTCTCTTTCTTATAGTTGAAGCCACCATCGAATCCAAGCACATTCAAGATAAAATCCAATTTCTCATCCGAGCCCACACTGCCAATAACCTTCAAGCCCTCGTGCTTCGCGAGCTGGCCGACAACCTGACCAACAGCGCCACTGGCAGCGGAGATAAAGATCGTTTCACCCTGTTTGGGTTTACCGATCTTATAAAAGGACGAAAATGCTGTGAGACCAGGCATACCAAGGCACCCAGGAAAACGCTCAGGTCAATCCCCAGGGGATTTTGGAGGAGACGGACTTTGGCAATCGAGCCCTCGTTCAGCGAAATAACTTCTTGGATTGGGATCTGGCCAATGACAATGTCTCCCTCTTTGTAGGCAGCATTATTGGAGCGGAGTACCTTGGCGATACCGAAGCTCTCAATTGGCTTATCCAACTCAAATGCCGGAATATACGATGTCGTGTCGGCAGGTCTCATGCGACCCCGCATGTAAGGGTCGAAACTAGCATATAAAGACTGTATAACAATACCGTTCTCAACGGGAGCGATGTCCTTATCGTATAAAGCTGGCTGGATGGTCAGATCTTCCCCAGGAACAGGGTATCCTTTGGGGATCTGTTTGAAGATCAAGGCCTTGTTGGAGCTCATGATGTGGTGAAATTCGAAATACAGGGGGATATGGTAAATGGATTTCGATTGAGGAGAGTGATGAGTGTAAGTGATCAGTCGTGGGATTCTCTGTCTTTATATAAAATAATGCCAGGACAACGGCCAGCCCTGGGTGGCTGAAAGACCACCGTAGACATTTCAAACCCACTCATTGAGAGAATTTTCGAAGTGAAGTGAAGTGAATAGGAGAGGGAAACATTAGTCAGAACAGCAACTTGAAGATGTTCACCAATGTTCCAATAGTCTGGGATGGACCCTGATGCTCAGGATGAGTAACCGTGTGCTTGGTTGTAGTGGGTCCTGGCGGAGGATTTGATCTGACCGTTCCCGGCGGCAGGACCCGGTTCATAACCTCCACCACCTCATTAGAGGGCAGTAAGGCGGAGTCGGGGCGATATTCAGCGCATGAATAGACTATCAAGAACTCGATATGTTTTTTTCGTTTATTCATCACCTGGTTCGTTCACTAATTAACAGAACTGAGAACGCGAGTGGCGTTTAAAAGTTTATTTCCTCGAAACTTCCAGCGCCAAGATTGAGAAATGTAACCCACTTCCGAGCTCTGTCGCTAGCTTGCTCGTTCTTTAAAATACGTCACGGTGCCTGCATCTCAAAGGCAGTTCATCTTCTCTGACTTCAATTAGCTTCGTCAAACTATACTTAAGAATGCTATCGATCAACATCCCTTCCTACTCCGACCCGTCTGGGTACATCCTTTCCGAGCTACCAGCACCGGAAATCACCGACTCGAACGATGTCCTCATTAAGGTCCATGCCGCCAGTGTGAATCCAGTTGATCTGAAAAAGGCAGAAGGTGTTCTAAAAGCAGCACTCAAAGACACGTATGTACACTCTTCAAACGAAAGGTGGTCATAACCAACATAAAACAGATTCCCCTACAAGATCGGATATGATTGTGCCGGCATAGTGACCAAAACTGGGCAAAGTGTAACCCGAGTTAAACCTGGAGATGAAGTCTACGTTCGATTGCCAGAGTCACATCGGGGAGCATGGAGTGAATACGCTAAATGTCCGGAAGAATTCATTGCTCTGAAGCCACCATCGCTTTCTTTCGAGAGCGCAGCCGCCATTCCACTGGCAGCGACAACGGCCTTTCAGGCGCTCCAGAAGTACAATGGCGACCTTTCGGGGAAGACTGTATTTGTGCCTGCAGGATGTATGATCCCCTTCGTTTGTTGCCACAAATTGACGCGCATATCTGACAGCATGCAGTGGGTGGAACCGGTCTATATGCATGCCAACTAGCAAAACATGTTTTCCATGCCGGCAAGGTGATCACGACGGTTTCGACGTCTAAAATCCCGAAAGTAGACGAACTGTTAGGGAAGGGAACCGTTGACCAGAGTAAGACCCCATCCTATCAGCCAGCCTCCACCCACTTATACTACCTGTCATAAAAAGAACAACTGCTGACGTGACTGAAGTAATTGACTATACGAAGTCTGAACCAAAGGACGCTATCCCGCACGGCTCGGTTGATTTCCTGTTCGATACCGTTGGCCTGTCCATGGAGTATCTTTGTCTGATGCGGCCGAAGACCAGCCGGATTGTCTCGATCTCAACCTTGCCATCGGGAAATCTGCTACAGAACTCATCAGTCATGCGACTTCCTCATCGCCCGACTCTGCCCTTCATCTATAAACAAGCATTAAATCTGATGGATGCCGCCCGTAAGCTACGTGCACGACGATACGGTGTGGAGTACTCATATATGTTCCTGGAGCCCAGTGGGAGAGACCTGGATCTATTGCGCGAATATGTCGAGAAAGACCAGTTGAAACCAGTGGTTGGAACCACGGCTAATATGTGGGAGATTGAGGAGGTGCGAAAAGCCTGTCAGGTTGTATACAACAATCGCGGTGGTCTGGGGAAGGTAGTTATTAGAGTTGTCAAGCCCGAAAATCCGCAATAACCTCACCCGCCTGATAGGAGCCATGCTCGGCCCTTCTTTTTGCACAATTCCTTTTTTGGTCTCTCGTTTGGGGTTATTTATATCCATATTGTACCATATTAATACGTTAAAGAACGTACTACCTAATCTACATGTTTTGGATCCTGCTCTCATCCTCGCCATCATCAGTAGGGAAGTCCTTGAAACAAACAGTATTCAACATTTTTTTGGGAGTTAACGATAAATCTTGGTCTTTGTGCACCATGTACGCACTGCACAGAGTCCTGCGTCATTTATTAGTTCGCAAAGATGAAGACTGCATGGATAGCAATCACATGCTACTTTAATCCTCAGGCTATCATCTATCAGAAGATGGCAATTGGGCTATGGACTTCGTCTGGAGATGACCAATATTTGAGGTCATGTTCGAGATTCAAATAAAAATAATGGGTCTTCAGTCTTCAGCAAAGTCCCCACAACGGGGTCTCCGTGGTAGTTAGTACAAGGGTCCAGGCCTCTGGCACCTCGCAAGCCACCCCCGATTTGGCTAGGCGAAGCCCCAACCCTGGGGTAGCTTAAGGCCGGCCCCGGGGATAAGCAGTTCATTGATTACTACTCCGCTTCTACTATTCAACCTAGGTTATCGGGGGGAAATAATATGTTCTTCCGAGTTTCCATCAGGAACAAAGAACGTTTATTATATCAACACCCTAACCCTTTTCTTTCCATATCACTCCAAACTGCTTAACTCGTTTCATACCCGACACATCCATACCATGGCAAACCCAGCTCACCTGAAAGCGGCCGCATACGGCTCTTTAATCCTGGCCTTTGGACATGCAGTTAGTGACTATCCCACCCAATCCATGAAGCCCACCATATACAGAACAAAAATGGTCTAACAACGACGCAGCTCTCCAGTCGTAAATTCATGCGATTGCGACAATTCCAAGCATTACCCAGTATAGCACGTGTTTGCAGCACCGTGGGATGGTTTCAAGGGAGTGGTTATCTGGTGCTAACTGGTATGTCTTCGCTCTTATACATACAATGTACTCTCACCGACTTATTTTTAGCCTTGCTTAATCTCCAATGGTCATTGAACCCGCAAGCACTAGATGAGCCCCTGAACCGTGCTATCGCTGGTTTGCTCACCTTGATTGCTTGGGGCAGTTCGGTCTCGTATCTTCGGGGAGGAGTGACGTCAAGTGGGCTCATTACAGCGGCTGCAGGGGCGTTCCAGGCTTGGGCGGCTTTCCGTGGATAGGGTATTGGAACCTGGATGGTAGATGTTGGGGAGGACATATGGGGATGTTTTTTCAATGCTGGTTCATGTGCTATATTAGGAGAATTCGCGCAACTTATTTGTGTCAGTTTGCAACATAATAGTTCTGATGTTTGCTAGCAGAATCTTGAAGTGTCAATATGAATTGTTGAATATACTGTTAGAGCTATGTGGGCCCTGGGCGAAGGTTATGCCGGAATAGGCGCTCATAGATAGAGCCATAGAGCGCTGACTTATCAAGATTGCGACTTTCGAAGTGCCCCAAGGGGTCATTTAACCCCTGTTGCCACTCTGCAGGTCTGAGATAGATTCAAACGCTAACCTTATCTCCTGGCATGATTGAAACTTTACTTGACCCGTGTTTCGTTAAATTCTATATGACGTATGTTTCTAGTAAATCGGGGGAACTAACTGCCCGATCCCGAGACTATTGCCTCTAGTAGATGATCTCTAAACTCCCATGTATAAGGTTACACTGGATTTTTTTTGACGGGATTCCATTCAATCTATAGCGGTAAGAGGCAAAATCAATTCCCTAAAATTGGATTGCGTGTTTGGAGGGTAAAAGAATCCATGATCGAACAAGCTTTCTGGAGTGCTCACTCAGCACTCGGATATAAATTCCGGAGCCACCCTTGTATTCAGAATGGATAGGGAAATTGAGAAAGTAACAGGTACCACACTCTATTCGGTAAAACAAAGACTCTCACTCTCACTGTGATACAAATCGAGTCATACCTAGAAATGACAGAAGATATATGCCTCGTGACAGGTGCAAGTGGCTTTGTTGCCAGCCATGTTGTCCAACAATTACTCGAAAGCGGCTACCAGGTCCGCGCGACGGTTCGCAGTATAACGAACGAGAAAAAGGTCAAACACCTGCTTGACATGCAGGCCAAATGGCCTGGGAAATTGACTTTGTTTGAGGCAGATCTCCTGAAAGCAGGGTCGTTCGATGTCCCAGCGAAGGGCTGCTCGGTGGTATATCATATTGCCTCGCCCTTTTTTATCGAGAGTCGCATCCGTGACGGCCAGAAAGAGGTGGTTGAACCGGCTCTGAAAGGAACACAACATGTTCTTGATGCGGTCCAGAAAAGTGAAACGATCAAACTGGTCGTTGTCACATCATCCGTAGCGGCCATCTTTGGGGACAACGCAGATGTGCAGAATATGAAGGATAACACACTCTCCAGCGAGTATTTCAACACCACCAGTACCGTCACACACAATGCCTACTCTTATTCCAAAGTGATTGCGGAAAAGGAGGCGTGGAAATACTACGAAGCACAACCGAGCCCACGGCGCTGGAGATTGGTGACAATCAACCCGGGACTGGTTTTGGGCCCGTCACTCTCTCCCACTTCGGAATCCGGCAGTCTGTCTCTCCTTGACCAGCTGCTCCGCGGCGAATTGTTTTTGGGGGTTCCAGACCTGTGGTTTGCCACTGTCGACGTCCGAGAGGTTGCCACGGCTCACCTCCGAGTAGCCCAAAGCCCGGATTCGCACGGCCGGTATATCTTGGCCGATAAAGAAATGCACAGTTTTGTGGAGTTGGCTCGCATCCTACGCTCGCTTACTCACTCCAGCCGGATCCCAGAGCATAAGCTTCCAAATTCATTGGTACGTTTATGCGGGCCACTGCTCGGCTTAAGCCAAAAGTGGCTGAAATTGAATCTGGGTGTCAAGTTCAATATAGACAATCACGCCAGTTTGGAGGAGTTGAAGATCGTTTACAGGCCTCTGGAGGAGACATTAGCAGACCATTTCCACTCTTGGAGTGCGCAGAGAAATTCGCATTAGGAATGCTTTGTCAGTAACGATGTCATGTTGGGAGTGGTTTATCCTAATACCTTCCGCTTTTGTTTGACATTTGGGAGTAGACATGGAAGCAGCCCTCCCCCACCCTTATGGGTGTCGCTGGCTGTCGGCCGCGACGGTCATAACGTTCATGCCCGAGGCTACCTTGAGGGACTAATTCAAGCGATTATCACTCCGATGGCGATTACAATAGGTAATGCCTTATGACGTGGGAGAGAATTGTATATATAATAATTACAAGATATGTATATGACAAAATCCGGAAGGTCCAATCCACTAGGATCCCATGTCCTGTCCCTCAAACCATCAACATACCCCCAACCACCATGGCGAACAGACCCCATTGCTTTATAGTACCCCGAACATGGCCAGCACCATTGGTCTCTCCATTATCGTTACTGCTACTACCATTCTTGCCACTATCATGTTTGACATCTTCATCTATCCAAGGCTGCCCCGGCAAAGTATCATTGCTGGCGGCAATCTCAGCGGGCTTGAGCAAGTCGTTCTCCAACAACTTGCAATCGACCCTATCGTCCGACTTGCTAATAGCGTTTGTAACGTTGACAGGCAAGTCGAAAATCGTATAATAGTCCGTTCCCTCCCACTTGAAGGACTGATGGATCGAGATATTGTACGATCCCCGTGCGGAGCCAGAACCGCCGTTCCCGTCACCCACTAAGCACTCTGGCCAGTTCCAGTTGAGCTGTTGGACGTTGGTTGACGGGTTAATCTCCAGGACAGGACCGACATAGGCGTCGGAGTTGGGTTCTGTGCCATTGGAGATAGTGAAGTTCTTCGAGAGCTCATTCGAAGTAAGAAACACAGTAATCTCATGGAATTTAGTGGCGTCGGACGGACTGGAGGTCAACCTGCCGTTTCCAGAGACGTCAATGGCTACTTGGAGGCTGTCTATCACGGATTCATATCAGCATACATGCCTGTAAAGGGGGGTAGATGTATCCTTACCTCCTCCGAGCGAAGTATAGGGCTGAGGGGAGTCGACAATCGCGAGCCCGGGAGTATACACCTGCCCGTTGATGATGGTGGCCATTGTATTTTGTTTGTTTTCTTTAATGAAGCACATTAACAGGGAACTCTTTCAACAAGTGGTCCCATAACTCAGTCGGTTAGAGTGCTGAGCTAATAACTCAGAAGTCGAGAGTTCGAGCCTCTCTGGGACCATCGATTTCCTTTTTTGGATGGTTGTTCGGATATCTCACCTCGCTTCTTTTTGTCTTCACCCCTTGCTTCGTTCTTCTTCGCTTACACCTTTTCGCTCTCCTCTCTGTCCTATTTGGGATTATGTCGGCGTCTCTTGGTCAATCGCCTAGGATTGAAAGGAAAAAATTCTTGTCAGGTCCCTACCTCCAACCAGTGGCATTGTCCGAGTCTTTATATCAACGCCTGTTAGAGTTGCCAAGTTGTAATTTCCGAAAATCCGGTCACTAATTTTTCCACCGCGTGAAATTATATTAACTAGTTAAAACAATACTCTGAAATCATCAATCACAAGTGCCAGGGGCTACCAGGATAGGCTAGTTGGTTATTTATTGATTCAAGGGATGGATCCGTGTGGATTTTTCGATGCGCAGCGCAGTAGGGTTAATCTCCTGGCAATGATCAAAATATATATACATTGGCGTTCTCTATTGGATGATAGCCAACACCGTCCTTCAGTATCACCTGGAGTGAACTAAAGTTGACAGCTCATTGTAGAAGGGGCTTGATATGGTGTCGCACTTAATTGTATCATATTCATGTTTTGCTGTTCAAGTCGAATCCCACAGCGCAACTAGCTCATGCGACTAAACCATGGCCTAAGGCTAAGAGAACACTGGTTGAATCCTCCCAGCAGCCCGATCCGCCAATCTCTCCGGTATCATAACCTTATACGCATGCCGTGCCCATGCACAGCACACCTTTCTCGTGTCTTTAGGATCAATGATCTCCTCGATGCCGAACGCATTCGCTGTGCGCACCGGATTCATCAATCGCCGGTATTCTTCATCTAGTTCCTGGTATCGCTCAGCCTTCCGGCCTTCTTTTTCTGCCTCGCGCAGCTCATGTCGATGGGCAACTTCGATGCCTCCTTCGAGTGGCAGAGATCCCCACTGTCCTGATGGCCAGGCCACTTGCATAACCGGGTCACGGGCGCTATCATAATACCACCAGCCACACCGTACACTCGTCGAGTGATTACATTGAACATTGGCATTGTAGTCGAGTTGTAGGTCTTGGCTAGCTCAACCCCCCATCGCATTGTCGCAGTGCGCTCGGCAGCGGTTCCGATGGCGTAACCGGCTACGATAGCGTTAGCGGGCATGTCACAAAGTAAAACAGCGTAGAAGAGATAATATAGGAGAGAACTTACGAACGTCAATGAACTGCAACACAGGCAGGTTCATCACATCACAAAGCTTCAACAACCTCGTCAATTTCTGGCTTCCAGCTGCGTCGAGTGCTCCGCTGTTTACTTCGCAGTCCAAGGAAACTACTCCAATAGGCCGCCCTCCTAGCCTTGCTAGACCACCGATAGCAGTACGACCCCAGAGGGCGCCAATCTCGAACCACGAGTCGCGATCAACCACGCTAGTGATGATGGTTCGTGGGTTATACATTCTTGCCTGTCGGCGAGGAATAATCTGACGTAGCGCCTCATCCTCACGGTCTTCGGGGTCATCGCTGGCGACCACAGGTGGCGCCTCTCGACCACAGTTAGGCAGAAATCCTAGGACAGTCCGGATCTGCTCGTAGCATTCAACTTCGTTGGCAGCGAGATTATCTATTGTCCCATTAGTGCAGTGTATCAGAGGGCCGCCCAATGACTGAAAGTCCAGCCCCTCTTCAAATGTTGCCCCTTTGACCACCTCGGGGCCTGCATTAAAGAGCGAGCCTACATCTGCAGCCATGACAGAGAAGTGGCAGGAGACGACGCGGGCGGCTCCAAGGCCAATCTATTACCGGTGAGCCGCGTTCAGCCTAGGAAAAGAATGGGGTAGACTGGAATACATACAGCCGGCCCAACTACTGCTCCCAGATTTGGAATGCCTTGATTCAGCTGATCCACCACATGTTTGTACATTGACACATGGGGCAGGTAACTCCAACCTTCCTTGCGGATGGTAGTGACACTTCCTCCACCTGAGCTGCCATCGACAAGCTTCACGACGGGCAACTTGAGTGCTAAAGCTAGTTTCTCCAAGTAGATTGTCTTTCCTGCAGTGGCGCCATCTGCATGTCCACTCCGAAGAGAGAAGTCATCTGCGGTGAGAAGTACTCGGCGACCACGCAGCTTCCCCATCCCCTGGACATTATTACTCGGCACGAATGAAACGGGCTTCTCCTGCATGGGTCCAGTCTTCTCCCATGTTACTGTGCCGGATAACGAGCCAATCTCTTGGAAGCTATCGCGGTCGAGGAGTTCTTCGAGGCGTTCCCGCACCCAGAGCTTCCCTGCTTGCTTCTGTCGAATGTAGCCACGACGATTGATGTCAGGTGTAGCGGCAATTGTGCGGAGGGTACTGATTTGGGAGCGCACATCCGCATAGTCGGGAGGGAGCCTTTGCGCCGAGAGATGCGCAGAGACCTGGTTGAGTCTTTTGGACGCTACTGATGACTTGTCCTCCGGCATTGTTATTTATTACCATAAAGTTATTTGATTATCGCCATATAGTCATTGGCAGTATCTGTTGTTGTATGTATTTCTCTCCAATCCTTCATGAGGGGTAATGATCTCATTCGCTCCGAGGTCCGAGGGCTGAGATCCACGCAACAGAAACAATGAATAGCGCTGTATTTGGCCATGGCTAGCCATGCCATTTTGTTCATTATAGCTCCAATTGCAAAAATGTGTGCTCAGTCTATCCAGCGGCTCCTGGTCGCAAACAGGTATTTCCCAAAGGCTCATGCTGTATACGAGGATTTTATCTAACAAAGCAGAGGCGAAATCGCTGTCCGTATTCTCCAAGCTGCACGCGAGCTTTCTCCGTCAATTGAGACATTTGCCCTTTATACAGACGATGACCGTTCTCACTGTGACATTGGACGTCCCCACCACGCAGTGCAGGTACCATCTGCTGCAGCCTACTTGGACATTCCGTTGCTCGTTAACCTGAGCCGCGAGCACCAGATTGACTTTGTGCACCCCGGATATGGCTTCCTTAGCGAGAGTGCAGAATTTGCCAGTCGTTTGCATGATGCTGGAGTTACTGTCATTGGTCCTGGATCTGAGATCCTGATCTGTACAGGAGACAAACTCAAAGCCAAGCAGCTGGCAATACAGTGTGAAGTTCCCGTCTTGCCGGCTATGTCAAGCCCCACCTCTGATTTGGTAGAAATACACACGTTTGCGCGGCAGGTTGGGTACCCCATTATGATCAAGGCGGTTGATGGTGGAGGGGGTCGTGGTATCCGCTTGGTGCGGCAAGAGGCTGAGCTGGAGCATGCCGTGCGGGCAGCAACTAACGAGTCACCATCGCAGACAGTTTTTGTGGAAAAGGCTGCTGTGGATGGATTTCACCACCTTGAGGTCCAAATCGTGGGTGATGGTATTGATGTGTGTCATCTCTGGGAGCGTGACTGCAGCTTGCAGCGTCGTTTCCAGAAGGTCGTTGAATTTGCTCCGTCGCTTATGCAAAGCCGCGATGTGGTAGAGCAAGTGGTGAACGCCGCCCTTCGTATGGCAAAGGAAATTCGATACAGGTCCCTTGGCACGGTCGAATTTTTAGTTCACGACCATCGAAGGGAGTTCTATTTCCTCGAGATCAACCCTCGCCTGCAGGTGGAGCATACCATTACTGAGAACATTACCAGTGTGGATTTGGTGCAGACACAGCTACAACTTGCTATGGGATTGTCGCTCGCCCAAGTTGGCTTGCTGAAAGACCACCCGGTACAGCCTCGGGGCCACTCTATCCAACTGCGATTGTGCGCCGAAGACCCGAGTAGGGATTTCCACTTGAGTATAGGTAAAATCACTGAGTTTGTCGTACCGAGTGGTAACGGCGTCCGTATTGACACCCATGTTGATACGTCGGGATCAAGCCCCGTCACGGTTGGAGCAAACTTTGATAACATGCTGGCAAAGATCATCGTCACTGCGTCCAGTTGGGAGGCAACAGTCTCGAAAGCTCGGCGAGTGCTAACCGATACCAAAATATCTGGAGTGCAGACCAATTTGAACCTGCTACGAGGAATCCTTTCCCATGATAGCCTTTTGACAGGACAGATCGATACACAATGGCTGGAAAGACATCTTGCACAGGTGATCTCATTTGGAGAGACGATCGCTCAATCTATCCGCCATGAAGCATCTGCACAGCCATCTCGTTCGCTCATGATGCCGAGTAGTTCCTCATCCAATCTTCTATTCCGTCCTGGAGATGCATGGTCAATCACCCTAAAGCCCCTAGGGACGGTGGAGCAGCGGCAGCACCACCTCCAACTCACTCGAGTTTTGCAAAATGATTTCCCTACTTCCATGGCCGCAGAAGTCAAATATACCACGCCGTCTTCTTCCATGGCCTATCAGCTGCAGCTGAAAAACACATCTACAACTGCATCTGCTCTAGTTTCATCTTCTCATCGTCGTGGTGATGTGCACAATCCCCGCCATATTGTGCTTCCTCTGTCTGGGAAGTTGATTGAGGTCTTGGTGGCGGCCGGGGACCAGGTGGTGGAGAACCAAGTAGTGGCATTTGTCAAGCAGATGAAGATGGAGCTTGAGGTGCGAAGCCCACGAGGCGGCCGAGTTCAGTGGGTATATCAGATGGATGAAGAGGAAGAAGACGTGGCAGAGGGTATGTTGTTGGTGGAATTAGAGGAAGAAGTCCGGGGAAAGTTGTAGACAATGGGTTGAATTAAGGAACACGGACATATTCTTGAATGACACCAGTTTCTTACTTTCAAACACAGGGATAAAAGAAAGCTCCACTGGAATGATATAAGCTGAACAAAAGCTGCTCTTAAGATACAATGTGCAAAACATACAAAATCTCCGATCGTTATCGATAAGGATCCGCCGATCGTCACATGGATGTCCCAAACCTTCAATCCATGGAACTGGTGGAATTGACAACCGTCCCGATCGCCGTTTACCCCAGGCTTCATCTCTACTAGTACCACGACTGATCCCTCCAAATACATATTATTCAATACTCGATCGGGCTAAACTTGCGCCTACCATGGAGAGCCTTACCCTCTATATGCTCACTTTCAATTGTGCCCGGAATCCAGTTGACGTCAACCGTTTCGCTCATCATTTCTTCGATGCACTGCCCCTCACCGACAGTTCTAGCGCTTCCACGCCGCCGGACCTCATCGTTCTATCACTTCAAGAAATCGCACCTATTGCATATGCCTTTCTCGGTGGTTCTTTTTTGGCACCGTATTTTGCTTCCCTGAGTGAGGTGGTGGAGCTAGCTGTGGCTAAGCGCTGGGAGACACATTACGTCAATATGGTCACAGACAATAGTGGGATGACGGGGTTGATGGTGTATGCTCGATCCGATGTGGCGGAACGTATATCTTCGATTGATACTGCGCGAGTCGGGTTTGGATTTCAGCAAATGGGCAACAAAGGCGCGGTTGGGGCACGGCTGACCTATGCGACGCAGAAAACGCCTGGCGACACAGTGGACCTGACCTTCATTGCTGCCCACCTTGCACCCATGGAGTATGCTGTACGGCAAAGGAACGAGGATTGGCGTAGTATGGTAGAGCGATTAGTGTTTGATCGTGTGACTGCGAGAGCCGGGGAGAATACTGAAACAGGGGGCGATTCCGAGAGTACAGCCCTGCTAAGCGGTTCTACACGGAGTTCCGGCGATGATTACCGGGGTATCTTTATTCCTACAAGTTATCTCTTCCTGGCAGGCGACCTCAATTATCGCACGTCTAATGCATCGCCACGAAGCGAGGATTGTGCCCGGTTTCCGCAAGCGGAGGTGGATCCAGCCGACCCCCGTCATTTCTCCCACTTGTTGAAAGAGGATCAGCTCACCCGGGAGATGCGACAGTCTCGAAGCTTCCATGGCCTGTCAGAAGCCCCGATAACCTTCCCCCCGACATACAAATACACAAATGCTGCGCGTCAGGCTGCAGCTCGCGGCGGCGGCTCACAGGAGTGGCTATGGACCAGTACACGCTGGCCTAGTTGGTGTGATCGTGTGTTGTACCTGGAAACTTTGCCTGGTTTGGGCGAGGAAGCACGGGTTAGGCCCTTAAAGTATAACTCTTTGCCGCTGTTTCCGACGTCAGATCATCGCGCTGTCGCACTGTCAGCTTCTGTTCCTGTGCCGCCAAGGCGTTCAGCGGATGCAACGCAGTCAGCAATCCCGTTTCGGATTGACCCGGAATGGGCGAGTAAACGAGACGCCGCACGGAGAAAAGAGCTCGTCGTAGGCTGCCTAGCATATTTGGGCCTGACTTGGGAGGGAAATGGTCTGTTGGTGGCCTCGGTAATTGGAGTACTGGGGGCGTGGCTTGTGCTTCGATCGCTGTTTAATGCCTGAACTTTACGCGGTGCTTGAGAGCGTACTGACAGTTGCATTAAGATCTTGGCCCGAAACACCCTGCCCCATGTCGATCATTCTTGTTCTCTTGCCCAAAAAATGCCATGAACTGTGAAAAATGGGGCAACCAGTTTCACACTCAAACACCGGGGCTGGTATCTACCGTGCCCTGCTGGAATAGAAACAACGCTCTGCAGCCTGCACGACATCTGATACTTGCCGCAGAGCACAGCGGCAGTGCGACTGACTGTCATTGTGTCGAAGCGGCGGTGCATCATCTGTTTCATGATCCCAAGACAGGCGTTCTGTGTCAAGCGTCAGTGCTTCATGGGTCAAACGAGCCCAAAGCTGATCTAGACCGGTCTGGAAACAATGCCAAAGGTCACTAGAAGGAGCGTTGTCGATCGATATGAAGCGGCTCAACACGAAGGAGGATTCTCCACTGAGCCAGCCAAAATATGGTCCGTTTCAACAGAACTTAGATAGCATAAGCACTTGCACTTGAACTGATTTGCAGTGTTGGTCCGTTCCACGCCCACTAGTCGAGTGCTGCCTATCTCACGTCCTAGTTCCCTTCCTTTTTATTTCTCGATGGGCACTGTCAGACCAGCCGATGGATCCCTACCAAAATAAGAACCAAGCGGGCAGGGCTGTTACAGAACTGAATTTTCCGACATCTGCCGGGGCGTTGGCCTGTTCGTGATCTAATAATGTTGGTGGGGACTAAAACGACATTATTTCCGTAGAGTAATTTGTCTTGTGATTTGTATTGTACCCTCTGGCAGAAGATGATGGCAGTGTTATTATTTCAAACATAGCATGATGAGTATACCTAGTAGCAGATAGTTGACCCAAAAACGGGAAATAGGAAACGGTAAAAA